CAGGTTGGCCATGTTGGCTGTGTGCAAGGCAAACGCCCTACCGCTGTGCTATCACTCCAGCCCTGTGAAGTATAAAAAAGCAAAACAAAACAAAAACAGTCTATCAAGAGGCACATTGTGAAAAATGCACCTGGAACAGTACTCCTATGTGGTCAACACCATGCCTAGTTATTCGGCTTTGCCACTTAGCAATTATTCTAATCAATTATTTGAAGATTTTTATAGTTGCACTATTTTGCACTTAAAGCCCACGCTCACACTGGACACCCCCTTTCTGTGAAGCAAGATGGTTTATTTTTTTCAAGTTACCCTAATTTTGTTTCTTTTTTAAAAAAGTGTAAGCCTAGGGCTGGGGCGATAGCACAGCGGGTAGGGCGTTTGCCTTGCTCACAGCCGACCCGGGTTCGATTCCCAGCATCCTGTATGGTTGGTCCCCTGAACACAGCCAGGAGTAATTCCCGAGTGAAGAGCCAGGAGGAACCCCTGTGCATCGCCTGGTGTGACCCAAAAAGAAAAAAAATGTAAGCCTACTTTTTAAAAATTTAAAACCTATCCAGGGATAGGTTTACTCATGCCAGGGTGCCCCAAATGAAAACTTGGTGCGGGGGCTGGCAGCATGGCTGGCAGCATGTGTCATTTTATGAAGCAAGATAGTTTTAATTTTAATTAAAAATTTTTTATTTTGGTTTATTTTCTGTCTTTTTTTTTGGTTTAGTTATTTAAGCCCTGACAGTGCTCAGGGCTTACTCCTGGTTCTGTGCTCTGGGATCACTCCTGGAGGGATTTGGGGGAACCTTATGGGATGCTGGAGACGGAACCTTGGTCAGCTGTGTGCACGGCAAGCATCTGCCCACTGCACCATCCCTTCAGTCCTCTGCCCCCTCTTCTTTATTTTATTTATTTATTTTATTTATTCATTTATTTATTTTTATTTATTTTTTATTAGTGAAACACCATGAGGTACAGTTATAGACTTAGAAATTTTTGTGCTTGGGTTTCAGTTATACAATGATCAAGTACCCATGCCTCCACGAGTGCCCATTCTCCACCACCACTAATCCCAGCATCCCTCCCACCCCCCCATCCCCCCTCCCACCCTGCCTCCGTGGCAGGGCATTCCCTTTTGTTCTCTTTCTCTCTCCTTTTGGGTGTTGTGGTTTGCAAGAGAGGCATTGAGTGGCAATCATGTTTGGTCTATAGTCTACTGTCAACATGCTTCTCCCATCCTGGGAGGATCCTCCCAACACCTTTATTTGGTGCTCCCTTCTCTCTCTGAGCTCCCTTTTCCCCTAGCACGTGTGGCTGGCCTCCAAGCCATGGAGTAAAATTCCTGGTACTAATCTCGGCCATTCTTGGGTGTTAGTCTCCCATTTTGTTGCTTTACGTTCCCCAGATGAATGCAATCTTTCTATTCTATCCCTCTCTTTCTGACTCATTTCGCTTAACATGATGCCCCCTCCTCTTTAACGTGAAGGACGAATGCAGGAATTTAACCTTGACAAGAGAGATCTGTTCTTCCCTTGGGGGAAAAGGAGAAGGGAACCTAGCTGCTCCACTTGCCCAAACGGAGGGTGGGTCAGCGATGGGACTGCTCCTAACTTTCATAAGCAGCTGAGAGCTGGCGTGGTTCTCTCCTCCTTCCGAGACGCTGCGTCTCCCACCTTCTTCAAGCTGGCTCTCTACACGGGACAGACATCCCAGGTCAAATGGAGTCCCTTAAATTTCTACATCCATAAAATTTGCTAAAAGCAAGCAGGTTATAGTTTTGCGAGGGTAAATTTTGTTACATGTGAACTTTATTCCGCTAGGGTTTGTTCCAACAACTCCCAGTTTGTTGAGATTTCATTTTTTAGGTACCTTGAAATATCAATTTTTCTTTTTAGCCGAATCACCAGGAGATACATAGTTACCAAGTTCTTCCTGTCTGGGTTTCAGTCACACAGTGTTCCACACACATGGGTGCCTTCACCTGTATTTCCCACCACCGGTGTCCCCAGTTTCCTTCCTGCCGACACCCCCAATCCCTGCCCAGCATGTCTGTCTGTCTGTCTGTCTGTCTCTCTCTCCTCCCTAAAAGTAGGTTTCTAAGTTTACTTCTTGTTGACTTCTTTTACCCAATCTGTCTAACGACTTGGCTATGCTCACGGATGGAGGGAATGCCAGACAGTGTCAAGGATCAAACTGAGGTGGGCCACATGCCCGCAAGTGCCTTAACCCCTGTAATACCCCCCTGGCTGGTGTCTGTCTTCTTCACACGAGCAGGCTTCAGGCTTGAAGGTGTTGGTGGGAAGTAGCACTTTAGTTAAACACTTTTTGTTGTCTGGGGGGACTACACCTGGCTGTGTTTGGGGCTACTCCTAGCCTAGTGCTCAGGGGTCACTCCCAGGGTTTTTGCGGTGGGGGGGGGGGACCATGCAGCGTCAGCAATCAAACCCAAGGACTCAAACATGCTGGGCAAGTGCTGTACCACTGTGTCACACCCCTTGGCCTAAAATAACTCTTTCTTTTTTTTTTCTTTTTGGGTCACACCCGGCAATGCACAGGGGTTCCTCCTGGCTCTGTGCTCAAGAATTACCCCTGGCGGTGCTCAGGGGACCATATGGGATGCTGGGAATCGAACCCAGGTTGGCCATGTGCAAGGCAAACGCCCTATCCACTGTGCTATTGCTCCAGCCCCTGACTTTGTTTTTTCATCGGTACTGTGTTGATGCCAGTCTCCTGGCTTCCTGTAATCTGAACCAGGCCGGGGGACTTGATTTAGAGGAACTTAGAAAATAACAGTGTGGGTGGTGCCTAGTTGACTTCTCAACGCGGAGCTGCAGGAGACTTCCCCCAAGTCAACACCCAGCCAATCGGCTGACTGCAGAGACGGGAAGTGAAGAGAGGGACCTCCGGCCACTGGGCCGATCGCGCTGGCATCCCCGGGAGTCAGGATGCTCGAGGGTGTTTGCCACACACCCGGTCAGGGCTGACACAGGCAGAACCCACCTGCCTCATGCTTTCTGGGGCACGCAGACGGCACCGAAGGGAGTTCTTCCAGAATTAATGTCCTCCTTCCACAGGAGATGCAAGTCCCCCGCATACAGAAAGCAACAAAAATAACAGACCCCACACACACACATACACACATCTGTTTTTTAATATATATATATTCTCTCTCTCTAGATAGACACAACTCTGGTAAACAGAAGAGATGCTGGTAACACTGAGAGAAAGGGGGGTGGTCCACAGACAGAGACCCCCCACTGACACACTCGGCTCTGGGACACGGGGACACAGGACGTACAAGACCGGAAGCAGCATGGAAAGCCATGGACGGAAGAGCTGTCCCAAGTCACAACCGCGACACATCTCTGGACAGGAGGGCTTGGGGCGAGGGGGGCTGTGCTTTGGGACCAACCTGTCACTGGGTCACCAGGAGCCACCCGGTCTGGGACCTGGCCCAATGTTGCCATGGTGACAGCCGGGCGAGGGGCCGTGTGCAGACTGCTTCCGTGAGAAGGGGAGCTAGGGTAGGGGAGAGGAGGGAGACCTGCATGGGGCGCGCTGCCTGGGCGCGGGCCACCCTGGTCAGCACATCCAGTGGGGTCGAAGGTGGGGTGCAGGAACAGCTGGAGGCGTGGGGCCCATGGAGGGAAGCCTCCCCAGCAGACGGGGTGAGGGGTGGGTTTTTCGCCCCCCTGGTTGGCTTGCAGCTGGAGGACTCATGGGAATGCTTCAAAGTGCTCCTCGGGTCTCAGCCCCTCTGGAAAACCCTGCCATGTCCGGGGAGGGCATTCCCTGCCCTCTCCCGCACCCTCGCGCCCCCACGCCTGGGCCTGCTTGGAACAGAGTTGGGGACCCAGCTCTCGGTGATGACAGCTGACCTGGTCTGTTGGCCGACTCCCGGTGGCTGGCGTGAGGATGGGAACGCGTGCAGACCCCATCAGCACCCTGGTGCCAGGGTCCTGCCCTGGGTGACCTGCCTTCCTCATCTTCACTGTCCCGGATGAATGAGGGCACTGAGGGGAGGTTCCCCGCTACCCCCACTGCATAAGTGACTCTCACCGACACACACCTCCCTGCCGCAGGTGTGCTTGGTTCCGGGGGTGCGGGTGGGGGGCAGGAGAGACCACACCTTCCGAGGTTCCGAGGAAGAGAGGCAGGGGGTGTTGGGGACAGTGTGTGTGTCGGGGGATCCCTGGACGGGCACACCAGACTCTGAGGCTCTCAGGCCCGGTCGCTTTCTGGCTTCCTTTGGCCCTGCTGGAGGCCCCATCCCTGGAAACAGGAGAAGTTTCTCCCGGGGTGGGCTGGAGCATAGGGGGACCTCCCAAGCCAGGAGAGAAGGACCCGGAATGCAGCGTGCCTTCTCTGATGGCTGGGAGGGGGAGGCGTTAAGGACACAGAGAGTGGGGGGAGGGAAATGCCACAGCACCCCTGCCCTGCTCCGAGCCAGCACCCTTCAACCGGGCCGATCTGCCGCCCTTTGTGAGGTCTAAGACAGTTTAAGTGCCACAACTGTGATGGGCAGAGGGGGCTCCCGGCACCTAGGGGGTGGGCTGCCAGGGGTGCTATCTGACATCCCACAACCCAGGCCCAACCCCATGTTACAACAGCACTGAGGACCCCGCCCAGACCCTCCCCCAGGTCCCAGCCTCCTTCTGGGACCGTCACTCCTCAAGCCCCTCTTAAGGCTGGAGCAGGCACCCAGGCCTCTCTCGGACAGCTGTCTCCCCCCAGAACGCCGCCGCCTCTCCACCTGGCTGGACCCACAGAACAGCTGGAGGGACAGAACGGAGGCGGTCATCCCGGGAACCACAAATCCAGAGGCTGCCCCCACAACGCTGTCCACCATCCCCCCACAACACCCACGAGGGTGACGATCTCGGGCTTGTGCAATCTTTGGTGAGACAGGAAAAAACGTAAGGCGGAAAGTGGCCCTTGGCGGGTGGCCAACAGTGGCGGGGGGGCGGCTGGCCTTGGCACAGAAGTCCACACGCGCGAACACACACCAGCACCCGGCGCCGGGGAGGCCCAGGAGGGAAAGTGCGGGGTGGGGCAGGTGGCAGGTGGCTGGCTGGGCCTCACTTGTTCTCGATGAGCGTCTGCACCTTGTACACGAGGTCCCGGGCCAGCTTCAGGACCTGTTTGGTGTTGTGTCGCTCGGCCATTTCTGAAAGAGCAGGAGGCAACATGGCATGAGGTCTTCGTGTCCCCCTAGCACGACCCCCATGCACAGGCCGGCTTGGGTCTGACTTCTCAAGGACACGCTGGGAGGCCCAACGCCACCCAATGGCATCTGGGTCCTTCTTTCTAAGGAAACGGAACCGCGGTTCGGCCAGACGCCAAGCCACACGCAGCTGGAAATGGCCACAGGCCTCGGGCAACCCTGCCTGGTCCCACCTGCACAGGGCTGCTCGCTCCAGCCCCCTCCCTGCTGGTGCCCTGGCGGGCACTGCCCCCAGGCGGACGCTAGTACCATTAAAGAATTTGATGATGTCGGTGAAATCCATGTTGTTCTCCAGGATGATGTCACGGTACACCTCCACCAGCGCCAGCGCGATGAACAGCACGTAGTGGGCGGACGAGACGTGTTTGGCTGCCCAGATGGTCTCCCAGACAGAAAAGACGTCATCATACACGAGTTCTGCCAGCAAGACACACGCATGCGGGTCACGGGGAGGGAATCAGACCCAGAGCACCCTGGGTTCTGTCTGGGGCAGCGGCCAGAGAGCCCAGGCAGGCAGGAGACCCAGACTCGGCCGTTTCTCTGACCACCAGGACCCCCAGACTCCCTCGACAGAACACGCGAAACACACCAGCTAGACTACAAATGTCCAGCTCTCACGGTCGGCAGGTGAAGACGGGAGCCTGGGCAGGGCTGACGGGTAGTGACCCGTCCCTGCCCTGCCTCTGGAACCCATCCCCACTCCCTTGGCACCCATGGGGGGTATCTCCTTCCAGATGCGAACAGGAAGAGCTGACGGCCGCCTCTGGGTCTGGTCCAAAAGCTCCGAGCAGGGCCTTCCCTGTCCTGGAAGGGCTGAATCCCAGCTCGTCACTTTCTTTTTTAAAAATTTATTTATTTATTTTTGCTTTTTGGGTCACACCTGGCAATACACAGGGGTTACTCCTGGCTCATGCACTCAGAAATTACTCCTGGCGGTGCTCGGGGGACCATATGGGATGCTGGGAATCGAACCTGGGTCAGGTGCGTGCAAGGCAAACGCCCTCCCCGCTGTGCTATCACTCTAGCCCCCCAGCTCGTCACTTCCTACTCTACCTCTCTGCGGCCTCTTTCTTTCCTCGTCCCTAAGTGGGTGATTCCCACAGCCGCAGGGAGGCTGAGGAGGCAACACCCAGGAATGGCTCCGCAGGGGCTGGCCCAGAGGCTGGATGGGGCCATTCTTAGCATCGCCCCCAACCTGCACCATCGCAAAGCCCTGTTAGCTTCTGTTTCTTGGGCCCCCGAGAAACAACCCCTGCGCTTCCGAGTTCTGGGTCTCTGATGTGTCTAGGAGAGGAAGGTGGGCCAGGTTAGGGCTCTCCCACTTCTGGCTCTGGGTTCCGTGGTTCTTGGCCCCCATTTCCTCCTCCACAAACGGGAAACACATCTGCACGGTGTCACTGGGAGATAAGCAGGGGACGGGAGCAGTAGAGCGGAAGCGGTTGCGTTTCCCGGCCCCACGGGCTCCAACGGCCAGAGCCTGGCCCGAGTCTCAGAACCGGGCACCGGTCAAAGGTCCGTACCTCGTTTAAAATCCAGCAGGAACCAGCGGTAGCAGAAGTAGAAGTGAGTGTAGTCCCCGTTCTGATGCATCAGCTCGAAGAGCTCCGAGTCGAGGATCTGCAGGAGGAAGGAAGGGGGTTGGGTGGGCATCTGCTTCCTGGAAAGAGCCACGGCAGAGGAGACCCCTCAGGAAGCAACGGTGGGTGTGTCCCCCCCCATGAGACACCATGCAACCCTGAGTGGGGGGGGGGGTTTCAAGGAAAACAAACAGGACCAGAATTTGTATTGAAAAATCAACCTGTCCACTCTGGGCTCAACGGGACTGGGAACGGAGACCCTCTGCCCATTTCCCCCTGTCTCTGGCGACTCAGCAGCCACACCCATAAGCCACCTCTGGTGGTGCCAGATAATCTTGTCATCAACCACCATCCAGATCACATGTCCTTCTCTCCCAGAAGGGAGCAACATGACACTCGCCATAACCATGCCGCTGGACCTCGTGCCAGGCTGTTTCACTCAGGGCGCCCCAGAGGGGCCCCAAAGGACCCAGCCCCGGGAGCCGAAAACCTCCAGAACTCAACTGCCGCCACGCTCAAGGCTGCTCTCCACACAGCTTGGGCTGAGCCTCACCCATGAGTGAACCTTTCTGTGGTCGTGCAACACTTCAAAGGACACTCCCAACCCATGCTCCAAGAGGACCGCACTGCATCTGATGGGATTCACAGTAGTAGGCAACCAATCTCAGGGAAATACATAGCACAGTGGGTAAGGCGTTTGCCTTGCACGTGGTCGACCCGGGTTTGATTCCTCCGCCCCTCTCGGAAAGCCCAGCAAGCTGCCGAGAGTATCTCGCCTGCATGGCAAAGCCTGGCAAGCTCCCCATGACGTATTTGATATGCCAAACACAGTAACAACAAGTCTCACAATTTGTTGTGAGACGTTACTGGTGCCTGCTTGAGCAAATCAACGAACAATGGGAAGACAGTGCTACATACACATATATATATATGTATAGATTATATATATATTTACAGATATATATATAAAAGCACACAAGGCTCAATCTTTAACAACATGTTAGTGGTATCTTATAGAAGGTCTTAATGGCCCCTATCAAAATAGAACAATCTTTACACTCTTTCCTCTAAGGATATTTTTTGTGGCATTTTCAGCGATTTTTCATAATAATACAAAATACATTATTTCGGTTCTGCTTTGGGACAGGGATTGGGGTTTGGGATGGAAACATCTGAAACAGGGTGGTGGGAAGGTGTCGTGGTGGTGGAATTTGTGTTTGAATATCAAATGTAGTCAAATATTGTAAAATACCTTATAAAAATTTTAAAAAAAGAAAATCAACATCTCCTGACTGAAGCCAGCAATTTCTCCAAAGAAGCAAGGCTAATGGCCAAAGGCGAGAGGTGCTCCTTATTTGTCGGGCACAGCCAAGCACGCCACGTCATACCCACTGGAAGGACTGTCACGAACGTAATGCAAAGTGACGTGTCCGTGAGGAGTTCGAGAGAGCAGCGCCCCGTACCATGGAGGGAAACGTCAAGTGTGGTCACGGTGCCAATTCTTGGCACGTCCCAAGAGGAAGGAAAGCACGGGTGTCCAGGGAAACCAGGTCCAACGGTGTGCAAAGTAGCACTAGGCAGCGGAGAGCCCAGGGGGCTACTCGAGCACTGGTCTAAAAGTGTCCGTGCAATGATTACTCGATGACTAGAAGGAACGAGGTGGGATAGGGCTACAGGCCTGTCAGGGCCAGAGCATGAGCCTTGCATGGACAACGCCGCTGATTTGATCTCTGGCACAAGAGTGGGAAAAGAAACAAAACTGAAAGAAGGAATGAAGTTCTGACACGCGCTACAACACATGAGCGTGGAAAGCATGTCGAGTGAAGGAAGCCAGACACACGGGACATGTGGTGAGTCCTTCCTTTCACACGCCCAGGAGAGGCAAATAAATATGCAGAGGCTGAAAAGTGGACGAGGGCTGCCAGGGGGTGGATTGATAATGGTGTGGGGCTTCCTCCAGGAAATGCCCTGAAATTAGAGCCCAATGAGGGTTTCATAACCAAAAATTCTAAAAATCACCAAGTTCAACGTTCAAAAAAAGGCACATAAATGGGATCTCAGTAGTGACATGTGTATACAATACACCCCAATACGACTTTGAGGAAAAGAACCAAAACAGACAATTGTCATTGAAAGGGTGGGGGCCATGTCCTGTCCACAGTGGTCACCAGAGTATCTGGACGCAGGAAATGCTGAGTTGAAACTGAGCAAAGTTCAGCTCTTTGTTTCCATCTAAAAAAAACTCAGTCCAGAAGAGTGGAATCGAGCTGAATTGAGTTCAATCAACTTGGGCTGAGTTGAGCTGACCTGAATTGAGTTAAGGGGATTGAGTCCTGGGGTGAGTTAAACCAGGCTTGGCATATTAAGTTGATTACAAATCGTCTTGGGCCGGAGTGATAGCACAGCAGGTAGGGCATTTGCCTTACACACGGCCGACCCAGGTTCAATTCCTCCACCCCTCTCGGAGAGCCCGGCAAGCTACCGAGAGTATCTCGCCCACACGGCAAAGCCTGCCAAGCTCCCCGTGACGTATTCGATATGCCAAACACAGTAACAACAAAGTCTCACGATGGAGACGTTACTGGGCCCTCTCGAGCAAATCGATGAACCACGGGAGGACAGTGCTACAAATCCACTTAAGGAGCTGGAGTTTGTTAGACTATGGAAGAGGACAGGGACATACCTGGATTAGTGACCTCATGTTGGCAAAGTGCGTGTCCATGGCTCCTCCGTGGGGAAAGTTCTGGTTCATCCTCTTCATGAGTTCTGTGAAGCAGCTGAAAGCCAGTGCCTCTGGGGAAAGAGTGGGAGAAATGGGCAGGTGCCCAGTGCCAGGGTCCGAGGAGTTGGTGAAGAAGTACAGCCACGTGAGAGACCTGGGCAGTGAGGACCAGTGGTCTCCAGGGCTCTCTCCACCTTTAAATGAGTGAATAACTACCACGTTACCACTGTTGAAACAGCCTTTCTTTTAAGATGATAAATGCCCTTCCCTTTCATAAAACCTCCCTTCCTTCCTCCCTCCCTCCCTCCCTCCCTTCTGTTCTTTCTTCCCTTCCCTTCCTGCCTCCTTCCTTCCTTTCCTTTCTCCCTCCTCTTTTCCTCTCCTCCCTTCTTTCCTTTTCTTACTTTTGCACTCTTTTTAAAAGATTCTTTACAACACACCTGATAGCAGCCAGAACAATAATATAATGAGAACAATAATATAATGGATGGGATGTTTGCCTTGCACGCGGCCAACACTGGGTTTGATCCCTGGCATTCCATATGGCCCCTGAGCACCGCCAGGAGTAATTCCTGAGAGCAGAGCCAGGAGTAACCCCTGAGCATCGCCAGAGGCCCCCAAACAAACAACTAACAGTACTTATTCGCAACGTTTTTTAATTTTGATTTTCTAGGCCACATCTGGTGGTGTTCAGGGCTTACTCCTGGTTCTGAGCTCAGGGATCACTCCCAGTGGTGCTCGGGGACCATCTGGGATGCCACAGATCAAATCAGAGTCGGCTGTGTACAGGGCAAGTACCTTATTTACTGTCCTAACTCTTCAACCCACTTTTCTGTTTTTTAAAAATTCCTGTTTTGTGAAATGTTTAGTGATGGGGGTCACCAAGTTCAAACAGCGTATTTATATGCTACATGGGCTGGAGCAATAGCACAGCGGTAGGGCGTTTGCCTTGCAAGCTGCCGGTCTGGCTGAGCCCAGTTCGATTCCTCGCCCCTCTCGGAGAGCCCGGCAAGCTACCGAGAGTATTTCGCCCGCACGGCAAAGCCTGGCAAGCCACCCATGGCATATTCGATATGCCAAACACAGTAACAACAAGTCTCACAATGGAGACGTTACTGGGCCCGTTCGAGCAAATTGATGAACAATGGGAAGACAGTGCAGTGCTACAGTGCTATGAAAACAAAACAAAACAAAACGTCAAATAACTTTAGGAACTGTTGCCCAAAGAGTCAATTCCTCTACCATGTTAAGAAGGTTCTGAGAATTCAGGGGTAGAGGAATCTTCCTCATATTATTTAATCCACTGTTAGAGACAACAGTACAGGAGCTGGAGCGACAGCACAGTGGATAGGGCGTTTGCCTTGCACGCGGCCACCCCGGGTTCCATCCGTGACATCCCATATGGTCCCCTGAGCACCACCAGGAGTGATTCCTGAGTGCCAACCGGGAGTAACCCCTGAGCATCACTGGGTGTGACCCAAAAGCAAACAACAAAAAAGGAAAAAAGGAAGAAAATAGTTGAGAAATGTTTTATTTTTTTCTGAGAAGATTCATGCTAGGTAAGGTCTCCTGGGGCTGGAGTGACAGTAAGTGGGGAGGGCGCTTGCTGGCATGCAGCTGGCTGGGGTTCGATCCCGGGCATCCCATATGGTCCCATGGCACCACCAGGAGTAACTCCTGAGTGCAGAGCCGGAAGCAAGCCCTGGGCCCCCAAAGGTAAGTAAGTAAGTAAGCTGGGTGTGGCCCAACCAACCAGCCAACCAACCAAGCAACCACACAAAATGAAGGTTTCCCAAAGCACAGGAGAATCATTCATTTTTTCCCTTCTTTTATATCCTGGAACAGTTCAGATTCACAGCAGACTTGAGACCCCGGTTTCCATACACTTCATATATTTTTCCTGGCTCAGAGCGGCTGAGTGGAGTGTTGAGGCTCGGCCAGTAGGGAACGGGCCAACTTCCATTCTGCTGGGACCTGAATGTTTACCCCATATCCTGGTCTCCAGCGCCCTCGAACGAATCCCCCCGGGGATCCACAAAGTCAGGCCACCCCCTCCCATGCAGTGGGAAGGAAACTGCGCTCCGAGTGCTGGAACAGAGGCGGACTCACCATCGTCCAGTATGACCAGCAGTGGCGCCAGGAGGTCGCACATGCCCTGGACATAGCCGATGTCAAGGTGCTGCCAGATGTAACTGCGGGAGAGAGAGGCGGTGATGTGCCTTCCCGGGCCAGCCGCCTTCCCTCCACCCGCTGCTGTTCCCCACCCCTGACCACAGGACGGGTCTCTCGAACATTCCATGCCCGGTCGTCGGGATGACCCTCCAAAAGCCCACCTCATGGCCCACACCCGTGACAAAGGCACATTAAGAGACGTGTGAGTCATGTGGATTCTGAGGACACGTTGGCAGTAGCATTTCTTCTGGTGACTGACACTGGATGTGGAATTTGGATTTGGGTCTGGAAGGAGGGAATTTCCTCCCTCCCTCCCCCTCCCTTCTTTCTCTCCTTCCCTTCCTTCCTTCTCCCCTCCTCCCCTTCCTTCCTCTCTTTCTCTCTTTCTCTTTCTTTCTCCTTCCTTCCTTCCTTCCTTCCTTCCTTCCTTCCTTCCTTCCTTCCTTCCTTTCCTCTCCCTTTCTTTCCTCGCTCCCTTCCTTCCTTTCCTCCCTTTCTTCCCTCCCTCCCTCCCTCCCTTCCTTCCTTCCTTTCTTTTTCTTTCCTTTCCCCTTCCTTCCTTCCCTCCCTTCCTTCCTCCCTCCCTCCCAGACCCGCCCACCCCCGCCCCTGCTGTCCCCTTCCGGCACCTGCACATAATATTGCGAAGCTTCTCCAGGTTGGTGGGGGTGAAGTACCAGTAGTTGCGGTCACACCTCTGCACATCCTTCTCGATGCGATGCAGGTTCACTGTGTACAGGTCAAGCAACTCGGGCTAGGGGCCCCCAGGAGGGAAGGGAAGGAAAGAAAACGTCACCCCATGCCTTGTATGGCCAGAGGGTCTTTTCCTGCGGACCCTCCTGCCATCACCGAAAATACCCTTTACCTGGACCAGCGGGGGACTTTTTTTTTTTTGCTTTTTGGGTCACACCCGGCAATGCTCAGGGGTTCCTCCTGGCTCATGCACTCAGGAGTTACTCCTGGCGGTGCTCAGGGGACCCTATGGGATGCTGGGAATCGAACCTGGGTTGGCCACGTGCAAGGCAAACGCCTTCTCTGCTGTGCCATCACTCCAGCCCCAAACTGCCTTAACTTGAGGTCATCGTTTATGCCTGCTGGTAATTCAAATTGCTATTGCTGGGATGAAATCTCAAGGGACTTCTGGGTATGCCCCTGGGTGCTAAGGACAAGGAAAACCAGCCCTCCAAAGAGGATGTACCTTCTGGAGACTTTGAATAATGCAACAGATAAAGTTACGAGAAACAGGAGCTTGGGTTCCAAATGACAGGCCCCGAGAGGAAGGGGCGGGAGTGATGGGAGGACAGGCAAGGGGCCGGCCCTGCATGTAGCCAACCTGGGCTTGATCGCCGGCACCCTGGACAGCCCCCCAGGCTCTGCAGGCGTGATCCCCGAGAACAGAGCCAGGAGGAAGCCAGGCTGCCCTTCCCGTTGCTGCCCGCGGGGGCCCAGCTGGAAGGTGGGCAGCTCTGACCAGGTTTGCGGGAGACGGGCACGTGGGGCAGCGGGGACGGCCAATGTGCAAGGGGTGAGTGGCCCAGTTAGCGGACACCCTGCATCTGCCTGGAGCCTGCGAGGGTGCCTCGCCTTGCCCACCCTGCACCTAACCCCCTCGCGCCGCCCCCCCCAAAAAAAAACACAGTCTCTTCTCTGTCTTACCTACACTCAGCCCCCCACACAGTTAGTTGGTTAGTTCCAACCACTGACCAGTCTTCCTAACCCCATGGATATTAGTCTTCTACTGTGTGTGTGTGTGTGTGTGTGTGCGTGCGTGTGTGTGTCTGTATCTCACAAATGAATGCAGTCATTCTAAATCTGTTCCTCCCTTTCTGACTCAATTTCTGTCTCTGTCCTCCCGTTGTTCATCGATTTGCTCGAGCGGGCCCAGTAAACGTCTCCATTGTGAGACTTCTTGTTACTGTGTTTGGCATATGGAATACTCTCGGTAGCTTGCCAGGCTCTCCGAGAGGGGTGGAGGAATCAAACCCGGCTCAGCTGGGCTGGCTGCGCGCAAGGCAAACGCCCTACCACTGTGCTATCACTCCAGCCCTGCTATCACTCTGCTGGGAATGATCAGAGTGGACAAGAACTGAGGGTTAAGTAGGTGAGGGACAGAAACCAATCTCGTAATTATCTGGCTCTTTGCAGAAATCCAAAATCATTTGGATTTCTGAGACATTGCAGACATTATATGATTCTCATAACCAGCTATAGAAAACAAAGTATTTCACAATGCCTTTTCAGCAATTCTGATTGTTGGGGGGGGGGGGGAATTCTAAACAACAATGGTGCATCTTTTGTCGAAATAATGAATGTAATCAATGTAGAGAAGAATTAAGTGGAAATCATCTGCCTCACAGGCATTGGGAAGGGTGGGAGGGGGGGTATACTGGGGTTCTTGGTGGGGAAAAATGAGTACTGGTGAAGGGAAAGGTGTTTGATCATTGCATGACCAAGACTTAAACCTGAAAGCCTTGTAACTTTTCCCACAGTGATTCAATAAATAAATATAAAAAGAAAAAAAAATTAAAAAAATTAACATGGAAAAAAATAAAGTAGGTGAGGGATATTCTGGATGACCTTTCAGTATCAGTATTGCAAACCACAGTGCCCAAAAGGAGAGAGGGAGAGAGAAAGGAAGAGAGAGAAAGAGGGGGGGGGGGGGAGTCTGCTACAGAGGCAGGCAGGGGTGGGGGGAGGGAGGTGATGGGGACACTGGTGCTGGGTTGGGTGTTGGAATACTGTAGCACTGAAATCCAATCATGAACAGCTTTGCAAAAAGAAAATTAAATTTAAAAATAAATAAAGGCAAAAAAAATACTCGAGAAGCAAAGCATCACAGAAGACAGTGGGCTCCATCTCAACTGAGATGCCCGCCGTGCCGACGTGGCCGGGATGTTCCTGGCCATTTGTGCCGACATCGGGGCCCTCACCGTGAAGCCTGACAACCGCGGAGGAGAGGAGGAAGCTGAGAGACTGGGCAAGGCAGAAAGACTACGGGAGAGAAACCGAGGCGTCAGCCGGTCCTGGCTCCTGAGCTGTCACGCCCGGGTTCCCTCTTCTCTTCTTTCCCGGGGGTGGGGTGTGTGTGTGGGGGGGTTTCTGCCTGTTTCTGGGGTGCAGTGGAGGGGGAGGGACCCGCCGTCCACCAGGGGTCATTCTGGGTGGTGGCACTGGTGCCCGCAGGGGGACGGCTTACGGAGTACGTGACGCCGCTAGAGGACACGGGCGAGGTCTCAGTGAGGGCCGGGGGGGTGATGGCCAGCGCGGCCAGGGCCGGGAAGAGGCTCTCCATCTCGGGCTCCTCCGACAGGCTGTCCTCGCTGTCGCCGTGGCCCCGCCGCTCCGCCTCCTGGCCGCCCCAGCCCTCCTTCTCGGGCGGGGCCGCCACGTCCAGGCTCCCGGGGACGGACATGAACTCGTCCAGGCTCTCGTTGGCCAGGAGGTCGCTCTCGAGGCTGTCCTGCACGGTCAGCTGCTCGCGGGGGGCCTCGTCCCGGGACGTGGTGGCCTCGCTGCTCTGCCCGTCCTCCACGCTGCTGTCCGCCGGCCGGAGCGCCAGCACCACGTTGCGCTGGGCGTCCAGCACGCTGTCCTCGGTGCTCAGGCTGGGCTCCGAGTGCTCCGAGAGGCCGGACGAGAAGTTGTGGGAGGAGGGGTGGCCCGAGTCCGGCGAGCAGGGCCCGTTGGCCAGGCTCCCGTTGGGCAGCTTGGCCGGCTTCTCCTCCAGCCTGCCCTCGGCCTCCACCTGCTCCGCCTCGTCCACCGACTCGAACACCTGGAGGGCCACAGGGGTGCAAGGACACGCATGGGCCAGGCCATCCCCAGGTGCGGCAGCAGGGGACGGGTTCGAATGTGGAGCACGCACACGGGGAATAGCATGCGGTCAGTAGACTATGGCAGGACACGGCAGGACACATGTGCCCCTGGGTAAGAATACCACAGCTGTCTCGGGCCAGAGCAGAGGGCGTCTGCCTTGCACGTGGCCGACCCCGGCTCCATCCCCCGCACCCTGCAGGGTTCCCTGAGCACCGCCGGGAGCAGTTCCTGAGTGCAGGGCCAGGAGTGACCTCTGGGCATCACCAGACATCCCCCTCACTCACACACAGGAAAAGTGACCTCTAGGTATTGAAGTGCAGAGGCAGGGAACTGACTCGGAGAAAGACTGCTAGGAACCTGAAGGGAGAAAAGACTAATTTCTACCCATCAAAATGGTATAAAAACAATGTGTACCATGTAGCTGACGTGGTAAGGAGGGAGTTAATGAAATCCTCACTAGCGGGCCGGTTAGAGTGACTTTTCAAAAAGAAGTTAGATGTAGGGGCTGGAGAGATAGTACAGAGGGGAGGGCGTTCATCGGTTTGATCCCTGGCACCCCATGTGGTCTCCTGAGGGTCGCCAGGAGTGACCCCTGAGCACAGAGCCAGGAGTAAGCCCTGAGCACTGCTAGGTGTGACCCCAAATCAAGAGAGAGAGAGACAGAGAGAAAGAGATAGAGAAGAGAGAGAGAGAGAGAGAGAAGAGACTGAAAGAGAGAGGCAGAGACAGAGAAAAGAGAGAGAACAGAGACAGAGACAAAGACAGAGATATACATGTACAGGAACTACCAGAAGAAAAATCTCCAGAGAAGTTTTAAAGTTACCTGGGCCTTTCCTGCCCCTAGACCACAGACCAGGAAGGAGACGCCATATTCCCGGCCCACTTGGAGATTTGAATTTTTTCTCTGCATCGTTATACCACCAATTCGATGTGCTCTTTTATGTATTTCTCTTAAATTTTAAGTTGCTTTAAATCATACTAAAAATGACCTGCGTCGGCTGTCAAAACTAGAAAAGAAGATATATTGCGGGCAAGTGTGGTTTCTCCCCCGGCCCCTCTCCCCACACGCAGGTTCTCCTCTGGGTCAGCGTTAGGGTCACTTACAGCCCTTTGGCTCTGCACATTCATGAGCATGCGACTGGGTCCTCCTAGGACAAAAATGAGGCCACAGCGTGCCCACACTCTGTGCGCTGCTTACTCCTTTAAGAGTCGGTGAGATGAGATGCCCGGTGACGTTCCTTGTCACCGACAGAGCAGAGGCTTGTTGGACAACACACAGGACGGTCTTTATGGAGCTATTTTGTTTTGCTTTAGGTTTTTTTTTTTTTAAAGCTTTGGGGTCACATCCAGCAATGCTCAGTGGTTACTTCTGCCCTGTACTGAGGAATTCCTGGGGGGCGGGGGGAGGGCTTGGGGGACCATATGGGATGGCAGGGATTGCACCGGGGCTGGGCACACGCAGGGCAAGGGCCTCACCTGCTGTACTACGGCTTCAGCACCCCCATGTAGCTATTTTTTTTTTTGCTTTTTGGGTCACACCCGGCGATGCTCAGGGGTCACTCCTGGCTCATGCACTCAGGAATCACTCCTGGTGGTGCTCGGGGGACCATATGGGATGCTGGGAATCGAACCTGTATCGGCCATGTTGGCTGCGTGCAAGGCAAACACCCTACTCGCTGTGCTATCGCTCCAGCCCCCCCCCCCTTGTAGATATTTTAAAGGGTTGCTGGGTCTTTGACCTCATGTCGACACAATTGCGTACACAGAAAGGCTTAGGGAGGGGTCTGGAAGGGAACACGGCATGCTACTGCTAGGGAGGATCAGTGGGGATGAGGGAGAGTGGGAGCCCAGCTTGCTTGACGCTAGTCCGCAAAGCAAGGCACTCCCGGCCCGCGACTCTGGGGGGCGGGGGGCTGCTGGGAAGGGTCACCTGGGTGCTGCTGCTGGAATCACTCTGCAGGCGGACGTTCTGGCGGCCAGAACTGCAGCTCTGGGAGGACTGCAAGGAAGGGAGCGAGAGGGAAGCACGGGTGAGTCACCGCACGCAGCCAGGAAGTCTGCACTTGGACCCCCCGCTTTCTGCCTGCGAGTGCAGAGTCCTGCCCTGGGTGGTCTGTGCTGCAGACGCCTGCCTGAGGCTGCCGGCCATCTCAGAATGCCCCACACCGCCCTGCTCGGATTCACTTCCTAGGAGCAAACGAATTCAAACGGGTTCCTCATTAGCCCATGGGATGCCTTCTGCCCCGTAACTTCCGGTGAGTTCTGGGGCAGTCTGAGGCTCTGTGACCACATGACCTGTTGTTCTGGCCGACGGGATGCACTCACACCTCCCCGTGCCGGAGGCCGAAGCCAGCACGGCAGAGCTCAGCCAACCCAGACATACGAGAGAGAGCAGGAGGGACAGGCAGGCTGGACTCAGCCACCGAGAGCTCCAGGCTGCGCTGGCCCAGACTCAGGGGTCAGAAATAAATATATCCAGTCGGGAGCCACTGACTTCAGGGGCTTGTCTGTTGCACTATTGTGGCAACTGGTGCCGGTGTCAACTTTCGTCTGAGCTCTTGCATTGAGCTGCCGAACCCAGGCTCTGTGAGGACAGACGTTGCTGCACAGACGTCACTAGAACATTCTGGGCATTCTAGAACATTCCAGGCCATGCGGCACAGAGGAGGCATTTGAGGAGCACCTGCTGAATAATACTGAAGGTCGAGCACCGTGCTGGGTACTTTACATACACGATCTCATGTCAGCCACGGGCAACCCTTCTCCTGTACCCACTGACCGTTCCCATTCTACAGATGGGGAAATCAAGGCCCAGAAATGAAAATGCTGGCCTGAGGCCTGAGAGCTAGGAGAGACGGGGCCGGGCTTTGTGCTCAGATCTGTCCCAGGCCAAGGTCACCTTCCACCCGCAAGTGAGGGGTGAGACTGTTCCAAGGCCCAAGCCCTCCCCCCGACCCCCCCTAGGCGCGACCGTCACCGCCTCCCCCGCGGCCCGCCGTGTGTCACCTCGTTGCTGACGGTGGAGTCGCGGTGCATCATGCGGTGCAGGTGGCTGTCCAGGCTGGCCCCCGAGGAGCACTTGGCCAGGGCGGCCGCGTGTGACTCCCGCTCTCGCTGCCGCACGATGGCCTCGCAGCCCAGCCACTCGGACATGGTCTGCGCGTAGCAGGCGTGGATCTGCTCGTCCACCTGCCGGGCAGGGCGGGCTGGGTCTGAGGCGCTGGGACCCCCGTCCAGGACACGCCCTGCCCCACCGCCCCCCAGCGCTGGCGGGGTGAGGGCCCGTCTTTCCAGTCGGCACGGGCCACCGGAGACACGAGCGTGGGCGAGGCCGGATCTCCCAGTGGTCTTTTTCCTTCCCCCTTTCCCGCCTCCCTTCCTGGACATTCCAAGAGCTGCTGAGCTCCTGCAGGGGCCGCCGGGCTCTGTCCTGCGCCTTGGGACAGACCCGGGGTGGGGCGGGGGAGGGGAAGAGTCTTCCTCCCTTCTCCATGACGTCCTTCTCCCCTGGCTCAGTCACGCCTGCCCTCTCCCGTAGGACCTGCAGAGGAGCCCTCTGTGCTGGGCATCTGTGCTGGGCACAAGATGAGTGAAGGACGTGCAAACCGCTCTTCATCCCTCCGGCCGTTGCTCAGGACAGCCGCTGCAGGGGTCCATGTGCCCGGCACAGTGCGGCCAGGCACTGAGGCCAATCGCCCTGACCCTTCCATCATCTAGCCAGGGTCCGTGGGGACGGGGGGTGCAGGGGGGGAGGCTGAAGATTTCAAGTCTTCTTCCGGCAGGGTTTCAGCAGAGAGGAGGGGGAACTTGCCTTGGGCTACACAACCCGGCTAACACAGGCTCTGAGATTAGTACCAGGAATTTTACTCAATGACCTGGAGGCCAGCCACGCATGCTAGGGGAAAAGGGAGCTCAGAAAGAGAAGGGAGCACCAAGTAAAGGGTGTTGGGAGGATCCTCCCAGGATGGGAGAAGCATGCTGAAAGTAGACTATAGACCAAACAGGATTGCCACTCAAGGTCTCTCTTGCAGACCACAGCACCCAAACGGAGAGAGAGAGAACAAAAGGGAATGCCCTGCCACAGAGGCAGGGAGGGATGGGGGATGGGGGGTGGGAGGGATACTGGGATCCGTGGTGGTGGGAAATGGGCACTGGTGGAGGGATGGGTGTTTGATCATTGTATAACTGAAACCCAAGCACAAAAATGTGTAAGTCTGCAACTGTACCTCATGATGTCTCACTATTAAAATAAATAAATAATAAAATAAAATAAAATAAAGAAACAAAGGCTCTGAGCATGCACGCAGCTGGGCATTAATGAGGACAGACAACTGGGCACGGGGGCATTCCCGCAGGGAGACGCTAGGGCCACACTCTGCCACTGACTGAGGGCTCCCTCCCTCCCGCGGGTCTTCTGGAGACTCACGTGGACCACAATGGGATGTACATACAAACCTACAAGCGTGATCAAACGGTAGAGAACTGAACACACACACACACACACACACACACACGAAACAGAAGTCTGAATCAGACTGGTGCATTGGCAAAGCGTGATGAGAACGTACTATAGTTTTGCAAGAAGCGACCTTGCAAAACCACAGTGATCAAGGTGGCGAGAAAACCAGGCAGCCGCCAGGGCCGTCTGGGCTATTACACGCAGCTGCACGGGACCCCAGAGGCATCTCGGACATGCAGCCTCCTCCGTCCACGCTGGAGCCGTGTCCTGGCTAGAGAGGACCCGTGGGTGGTAACGGGAGCAGCAGTTCCAGCTCCCCGCATGGACCAACCTGAGTCCAGGGCTGCCCCTGCCTCACCGGCCCTCACACCACAGACTGATGAAGACCCCCCTCCCCCCGCCCCGCACTGGCCGCAGCCCGTGACCGACCAACCTCCTTCCTCTCTGCTTCCGTCATTCCGAACTGGTAGTGGCCCAGCAGGAAGGGCCACACGGCCCGGCGGATCTCCGGCTGGATGCCCCCGAAGTAGATGAGGCGGCGGAGTTCCTGCTCCTCGTAGCTCTGTGGGGTGGGGGTGGGGAGGGGGCAAAGGATTCGCTCATCAGAAAGCCCGAATCCACCTGGCGTGGGTTCTGCACCCCAGCCGGCCCATTTCTCAGACCTGACCTCCGAGATCATGGCACGAATGAGCAGCCACATGGACCCAATCTCTACCTTGGCATCAGATGTGAGCGGCACCCCAGAAACTCTCTGCCCACCCCATCACCATGGAAAAGCAATTTTTTTCTACATGAAAAGCCTAAAAAGCATAAAAACAGCAGAAGGCACATCTATGAGAACCTACGCACAAAACAAATGTTGTTCAATGTTACTGTCGAAGTTAAAAAAAAAAGGTACAAAGTACGTGTAAAACAATTTCTGGGGGGAAAAAAAGGCCTGTATATAGTTTTGGGTTTTTTTTTTAAATTTTGGGGTATTTTGGGTCACACCTGGTGTTGCTTAGGGGTTACTCCTGGCTCTGCACTCAGGAGTCACTCCTGGAGGTGCTCAGGGGACCATATGGGATGCTGGGGATCGAACCTGGGTTGGCCGTGTGCAAGGCAAACACCCTCCCCGCTGTGCTATTGCTCCAGTCCAGGGGCCCATGTATATAGCATGGAGACATGTGTACTTCACCCTCAGTTGATCTTGGAGGCTGCACCTCTCTGAAAATCATCCTCCTCGAGTCACTAACCGTGGCTCAGGTCTTAGAGAATGGGTCTAGAGCCAACGAATGAAGAGTGAGTGAGTGGACACGTCTAGGCCTCTGCATGCACGAGTAACTCTGTGCACACCAAGGGGGATGGTCTCTGTTAGGGAATAGATTTCACTTGCTTTCGTTTTCCAAGCAAAAATGTTGCAGCTGTCACGAGTCATCGGTGGTGTTACGTGTATGCACGTCCTCATGCGTGTCCATCTATATGCGTATGTTCAAGCATCTGAGTGTTTGTGTGTGTGTGTGTGTGTGTGTGTGTGTGTGGTGTGTGACAATCATTGCTGAGAGGCTTCCCTGAGTCACGATGGGCAACGTCTCTGTTCATCTCTGTCCATTCCAACGGCAAGGGCCGATTTCCTATCTTCCAAGCTATTCTTAGATGAACCCCCACCCACGCCAGCAAGACGAGCCGTTCTTTGGTCCCTGTTGAGAAATCTGACTCCAATTGTGCAGACAGACTTGTCACAGCTACTCAAAACACAGAGAATTATTTGTTGCTGGGGCCACAAACTCTCCATCAAAAGTCCATGTCCAATGGCTGGACTCCATTTCCCAGGCCCTCCGAAGTCAGGTGTGGCCCCGAGACTCTGTTCTGACCAAGGGGCTGGGGGAGGAAGTGTGTGAACCGTCCCCAGGCAGGGCATTTTCCCTCTGCTGGCTGGAGAAGGAAGAACGTGAGACCCTAGGGGTGGGCACTGAAGGTTCCCTGAACTTCTGGAGCAAAGAGATGCACATTTTTTTTTGTGGAACATAGAATAATGTCCTCGCCGGGGCCCCTCAGAGGGGAGTGGGTTGAGCTTTCCTCCCTGCTCGACCAGGGCTCCGGCAGCCGAAGACCTCCAGAACCAGCCACCACCATGCTGAGACCACTCTCCGCACACATGAAGGTACCGGCAGAGGAACAAAGGCACGTGGATCCTGGGGCTGAGATCTCCAAGCCTACTCAGATTGGGGCTGAGCATCCTCCACCCAGATCCTCCAAATTCCAGTAGGCGGGGGTCACACCCACCAACTGGCCCCCTGGCGCCGTGTAATCCCATCAATGACCAAGACTCAGAGACTATAAAACCCAGATCCCGGAAGTGCGCGGCCGCATTTGCGGCTGTGCGACATCTTATTGTCTCATTCCTACTTTGGACAAACTGGCAGGCTGCCAAATGTAACCTGCCCACATGGCAGAGTCTGGCAAACTCCCCGTGGCGTACCCGATATGCCAAATACCAGTAACAATGAAGGGTCTCATTCTCCTAACTCTGAAAGAGCCTTGAATATGGCACTTTTTAAAGAAATCTCAGGGCTAGGACGAAGGAGACGTTACTGGGGCCTGCTTGAGGCAATTGACGAATAACAGGATAGAATAATGTAATATGAGACTGACACCCAAAGACAGTAGACATAAGGGCCAGGAATATTGCTCCATAGTTGGAAGCCTGTCTCATGAGCTGAGGGAGAAGGAAGCTGGAATAGAGAAGAGATCATAAGTCAATGATGACTGGAGGGATCGCTCGGGATGGGAGATGTGTGCTGAAAGTAGATAAAGGACCAAACGTGACAGCCTCTCGGTATCTGTATCGCAAATCATAATGCCCAAAAGTAGAGAGAGAGTGTGAGGGAAATTGTCTGGGGTGATGCTTGTCACATCGCTTACGTAAAAGGGAGGGACGAGGGACCCCTGGAGGAGACAAGGAGGCGCATTCCCACTGTGCTAGTGAGGGATTTCCTCCAGGAAAGCTCTTTGCTTTACTGTTTTTTTTTCCCCCCTTTTATGAGTGTGGGCTGGAGCGAAAGCACAGCAGGTAGGGCGTTTGCCTTGCACGCGGCCGACCTTGGGTTCAATTCCTCCACCCCTCTCGGAGAGCCCGGCAAGCTACCGAGAATATCCCGCCCTCACGGCAGAACCTGGCAAGCTCCCCATGGCCTATTCGATATGCCAAACACGGTAACAAGTCTCACAACGGAGACATTACTGGTGCCTGCTCGAGCAAATCAATGAACAACGGGAGGACAGTACTACAGTGCAGTGTCTGCCATAGAGGCAGGGGGAGGGTTGGGATGGGGGGATACTGGGGACACTGGTGGTGGGAATTTGCACTGGTGGAGGGAAGGGTGTTTGATTATTGTATGATTGAAACTCAAAAATGAAAGCTTTGTAACTGTATCTCACAGTGATTCAATTAAAAAAATAAATAAAATTTTAAAAAATTAAAAGAGAGAGAGATAGAGAGAGAGAGATGCACATTTACCAGGAATGTCCACCCAGGACAATGAAGTGAGGAAAACAAAATCAGTGTTATCAAGCACCTGAAATGCAACAGCAGGGCTGTCACAGCAGTTAAATCTATCCTGTGGCTCAATGCCTCTTTTGCAGACCACAGAACCCAAAAGGAGAGAGAGAACGAAAGGGAATGCCCTGCCGCAGAGGCAGGGTGGGATGGGGGGGATGGGGGTGGGAGGGATACCGGGACCCGTGGTGGTGGAAAATGGGCACTGGTGGAGGGATGGGTACTTGATCATTGTATAATTGAAACCCAAGCACAAAAATTTGTAAGTCTACAACTGTACCTCATGGTGTTTCACTAATAAAAATAAAAATAAATAAATAAGTAAATCTATCCTGTGGCAACATGCAGGTAAGAAGGGCAGAAACACCGGCCGGCTTTCAAAGGGTTGCAAAAGTATGAAAACCACGTTATTGCCAGAAGCAGCGGAGAACTTTGAAAAAATACGTCTTCTTAGGCTCGACTCTCAGAACTGCAGTCAGGAAAGTGGGAGAGGAAGCCGGAAGTGCATAAATCTTTCAATTCCTCAGGAAAAGTGGACTCCCCCGGCTTCCAGGAATTATGAGCACCATGACATTTGCAGAGAGGATGCTGGTGTGTCCACCGAGGCAAAGCACACACCAGTGGGAATCGACTCTCCAAATGGGAAGACAAAGATGGGACGGGGGAGGCCGGAGCTCGTGCGAGTGCTGGATATATGCTCCTCATGCTTGACGCCCGGGGTCTGACCTCTGTGTGCACGTGCATATAAACACACACAAACATACATACATACACAAACACATACACACATACAAGCACATACACACAAAGAAACACAAATACACACACAAACAGACACACATATTCGCACACACACATACTCATACAAACACAAGCGCCACGTACACACATACAAACACACATATACACATACTCATACACACACAAACACACGTATACACAAACACACAAATACACACATACAAACGTACACACACAAACACATGCAAACACACACATACACACACACAGGGAGCTCAGAGACATCCATCATGAAGATTTAAACCAAGTAACGTGGACCCATATATGAGCTACTACAATTCCAACACTGGATATTTTACCTAGAGATGTGAAACATGACCTTTCTATACAAGTTGGTCATTCAAAATAACAAGAAAGAAAAACAGTCGCCTTGTTGAAAATCTATGGGTTGCACACGTGTCCATATAGACGTGTCTTTGGACGTACAAACAGAGGAGAGGCATGGCAGTGCCTCCAGCAAACTTACTCATTAGCTCAGGAGAGCAGAACTACAAGGGGAATGCAGATGATGATTTTATTAAAAGTTGCATCTCTGGGGCCGGAGCAATAGTGGGTAGAACACTCGTCTTACATGCGACTGAGCTAGGTGGGTTCGATCCCCGGCCCCCCACAGGGTTCCCTGAGTCCCGCCAAGAGTGACCCCTGAGTGCAGAGCTCCCCCCCGCCCCCACCACCACAAAGAACAACAACAACAAAGTTCTATCCATCCCTCTGCGTTCAGGCTCCCACCTCCCCTCACCCCACCACCACCCTTCTCGTCTAGACAGACAAACTCTGGCCAAGAGGTCAAACCATCTTCTCGTTGTCAGGGATGGGAGCTAGCTCGCTCTGCCCACTGGGTCTCCTGGGGTTCCCAGATTAAGCCCCAGGGTGGGGATGTCCAGCTGACCCAGGCGCCCACCATGTGGCTCCCCCAAGTTCGGGGTGGAAAACTGCGTGGACTCAACCGCCTGCCATTCCATGTGGGCGCAGTGGGCACCTCCTCTGGGCCACCCCTCACAGCAGCTAAAGCGGCGTTCCTAGAAGGGGATTCTGCATTCCCTGGGAAGAACTTCCGACCAAGGTCCCTAGGCCAGACACACGCCCCCGGGGAATGCTCCCCTGCTCTCCAGCACTTCCCCGACTGATTTCCTTAGTTTGGTTTTGGAAGCACACCCTCAGTGCTCAGGGATTGCTCCTGGCTCTGTGCTCAGGAACCACTCCTGGCGGGGCTCAGGGAACCATATGGGGTGCCGGGAACTGAACCCGGCTTTGCCACAGGTAAGAAAGACAAGTGTCCAGCCCACTGTACTGTCACTCCAGCCCCTGCCCCCAACTTCCTGGGTGACAGCGTATCAGCACAGAGGCCAGAAAGTGGTGCGACCATGTCCCCAGACGAGCTCTGAAACATTTTCTAAACAAACTCGTTTTGCTTCCAGGGTATCTGCAGTCTCACAGAACCCAAGGGATTGATCACAGGGGGAATAGCTAACAGGGGCCCTCCCAGGCACTGAGACGAGAGAGAGGCTGCGGTGAGCGTGTCGGGGGGGTGGGGCTGGCTCCTTCTCTCTCACCCACTCTCCTCTTTCCCAGAGAGTCTCACACGACAGTTCCTGCAAACAATGGCTTAAGCATCATGACTCTGACAAGAGCAAGACCTTGGGTGATGGCGTCTGGTTCAAAGTGAACATGCCAGGTTTTTTCTTTTCTTTTTCCTTCTCATCAGTGTTCGAAGGATATTGAACAAAACGAGACTAAGAACCTGCTGCTAATACCACTCCTGGGAATATACCCCAGAGAGGCAAAAATGTATAGTCGAAGTGACATCTGCACTTGTTTGTTCATTGCAGCACTCTTTACAATAGCCAGAATCTGGAAAAAACCTGAGTGCCCAAGAACAGATGACTGGTTAAAGAAATTTTGGTACATCTACACAATAGAGTACTATGTAGCTGTCAGAAAGGATGAAGTCATGAAATTTACATACAAGTGGTACTACATGGAAAGTATCATGCTAAGTGAAATGAGTCAGAAAGAAAGGGATAGACATAGAAAGATTGCATTCATCTGGGGAACATAAAGTAACAAAATAGGAGACGAACACCCAAGAGTGGCTGAGATTAGTACCAGGAGGTTTACTCCATGGCTTGGAGGCCAGCCACACATGCTAGGGGAAAAGGCAGCTCAGATAGAGAAGGGAGCACCAAATAAAGGGTGTTTGGAGGATCCTCCCAGGAGGGGAGATGCATGTTGAAAGTAGACTATGGACTGAACATGTTTGCCACTCGATGCCTCTTTTGCAGACCACCACACCCAAAAGGAGAGAGAGAACGAAAGGGAATGCCCTGCCACAGAGGCGGGGGGGTTGGGGGGGATGGGGGTGGGAGGGATACTGGGATCCATGGTGGTGGAAAATGGGCACTGGTGGAGGGATGGGTATATGATCATTGTATAATCGAAACCCAAGCACAAAAATTTGTAAATGTACAACTGTACCTCATGGTGTTTCACTAATAATAAAAAAAGAAGAACCTGCTGCTATTTCGAACAGGCCATGAATTCCTTCTGCCTGGGGACAGTCCCTCCATGTTAAGATTGAGCATAAGCTGGGACTGGAGCGACAATACAGCAGGGAGGGCGCTTGCCATGCACACAGTCGACCTGGATGCAATCCCTGGCATCCCACAGGGTCCCCCGAGCACCGCCAGGAGGCACTCCTGAGCACAGAGTCGGGAGGAACCCCTGAGCACTGCTTGGTATGACTCCCAAACACAAAAGGCAAACAAACAAGACGGAGCATAAGCCGATGGGTCACACCCGCTCAGTGACCTGTGCATTCTTTACTCCTGTGTGTGTGTGTGTGTGTGTGTGTGTGGTAGGGGAGGGAGACAAAGGCATTTTCCAGCCTTCCAGATCCTCCTCCTGAAGGGCAGAAGGGAGCACTGGGTTTTGGAAGGCTCAGAAGCGCAGGGCACCTGGTTTCGCCCGTGTCTGAGTCCCCGCAGGTAGGCGGTTCCATTCCCCGGTGACAGGCCGGCCCCTCCCCGTGTCCCCGACCGCAGCTGGACCCTTCCTTACCGCACTGTCCTCCAGGTACTGCTCCCAGATCCTGGCCGTCAGCCCGTGCCCAGCGTCACAAGGCAAGTCTGGGGACACGATCGCGTGGTTGACCAGGGCCGAGAGGTGGGTCCTCACGGTGGACAGGTGCCTGCAGTAGGCGAGCCCTGGCGGGGAGGGTCAGGCGTTACCCACCACCACTGGACGCCCTCTCCAAAGTGCTGTCCCACTGGGTCTCATCACCCTCCTTCTCCAGACCCAGGCAGGGAGGCTTGAGTCCCAAGCTTCGCCCCTCGTGGCCCGACTCACCAGCACTGTTCCCCTGGGCCATGCTGTCCCCTTTCCTGGCCTCTGTCCGGAGGCAGAGAAAAGGGACAGGCAGGGAGGGATGCCACTGGGTGCCTTCCACCCATACTGGGGAGAGCGAGGGGGGATTCTGCCCCAAACTTGGCCGGCTGTCGAAGTCCCGGAATTCAGTGGCGGGGCCAAGTTGCAGAGGGTCCCACCCCAGGGGGGATGCCCCACTCCCAGCCCGCCACCCTGTGCCTGTTGCAGCCTGGGCAGGGGGAGGACAGAGGCAGTCACGCCAACCTGCAAGCGACCACGCCCCCTCCTTTCGGAACTGCCCACTGTCACCTGCTCTGTCACTCCCAGGGACTGCCTGGGACTCAGGCCTCCCCATCCCGGGAAGGAGGCGGTGGTGACAAGTCACAGTCCCTGCGACAGTGGCTGGGAGCTGTCCCCAGAGGTTCCATAGCCCTCAACACAATCCTATGAAGCAGGTGCATTTTCCCCCAAGGACCACACGCCCCCTCCACCCACCCGATGCTCAGGCTGAGGGTGCTCGGAAGCCAACCGGGCCACGTCCGGCCATGCTGGGTGGAGCGTGCGGGGCTGGGGGTTGGAACTCGGGGCCTGGAGCGTCTCCCCGGTGTCTCTGAGCGAGGGGGGCCGGAGGCCTGGGCTCAGGCCACGAGGCTGGGAGGGACGGGCTGAGACCTGATCTCATGCCAGGCGGTCCCGGGGCTCTCTGTCACCAGGCCTGGACCACTTCACCAGATGACGTCACCCAGACCCAGGTCTCCGTCCCCAACCGGACGCCTGTCCACAGGGCTTCTGGAAACATCTACGGGAGCCAGGCCCTTCGATCGGACGGATAACAGGAGGGGTAGAGCCCTTGATTTGGAGCTCATCATTTTCCTGCCTTCCTGGGAACTTGGGGATGACCAAGCCCCTGTGAAGGCTTAGAGTGGGGAAACAGGCCGAGGAAGAGTCCCTGGCGCTGAGCACTCTGAACAGAGTCTCTGCGGTCAGGCAGGCCTGGGTTTGTGCCCCAGCTCTGTGACCCTGGGCAAGTCACTGCCGTTTCCTTGCCTGTTTAGTGGAAATAATCCGTGTGCTTGTGCAGGGCATTTTTTTTTTTTTTGCTTTTTTGCACAGGGGTTCCTCCTGGCTGATGCACTCAGGAATTACTCCTGGCGGTGCTTAGGCGACCGTATGGGATGCTGGGAATCGAACCCGGGTCGGCCGCATGCAAGTCAAATGCCCTACCCGCTGCGCTATCGCTCCAGCCCCTAATTTTTTTTTGCTTTTTGGGTCACCCCTGGCGATGCACGGGGGTTACTCCTGGCTCTTCACTCAGGAGTCACTCCCGGCAGTGCTCAGGGGACCCTATGGGATGCTGGGAATCGAACCTGGGTCGGCTGTGTGCAAGGCAAACACCCTACCCGCTGTGCTATCATTCCAGCCCCCTATATAGGTTTTTTTGTTTGTTTGTTCGTTTGTTTTTTGCTTTTTGGGTGACACCCAGCAATGCTCAGGGGTTCCTCCTGGCTCTGCACTCAGGAATTACTCCTGGCAGTGCTCGGGGGACCATATGGGATGCTGGGACTCGAACCCAGGTCAGCCGCGTGCAAGTCAAATGCCCTACCCACTGTGCTATCGCTCCAGCCCCTAATTTTTAAAAAACATTCTGGGAAGGGATCAGGCCAGTTTCCCCTTCCACTTCTGCGCACTGGCAGATGTCAGAAGGGAACGGACATCTCTTCATTTATTTTCTTTTTGGTTTTTTGGGTCACACCCGGTGATCCCCAGGGGTTCCTCCCGGTTCTGCACTCAGGAATGACTCCTGGTGGTGCATAGGGGTGTGAGGCATGTGAGGGGCCAGGGATCAAATCCGGGTGGCTGTGTGCAAGGCAAATGCCCTCCCAGCTGTATTATCATTCTGGCCCCGGGAACTGACATCTCTCGAGAGCCCATGAATGCATGGCCAAGTGCTTGGGCTTCACACCTGCTCCCCATTTAGTCCCAAAAGACAAGCTCGCTGAGGTGGGCACCAGGGATGAAATGGCCGGAGCCCCGCTAGACCCAGAGAGGTCCACTGCCCTCTCTTCGTACCCAGGGAAAGAGCTTGGGCCCCGTCTGCGGGCAAGGCAACAGGCTCCATGAGACTGATGTGGCATCCCCAAGACTCGACATCGGGAAACAGGAGCTGGATGCAGAGCCAGGATCCCCACCCCCCACCCCTGACAGACACGCCCCAGAGACCACCCACAGTGCCCCACAGCAAGGCCCACACTCACATCCATAGAAGGCTCTGGAAAGGATCTGGTACTTCATGTTGTCACAGAGGAGCTTCAGGGGAGCCCTGCAAGACAGGCAGAGACGCTCAGGCACTCACCACACCTCCCAGCCCAGGGCTCCTGCCCATCACCCCACAAAACCGACATCGTCCAGCTAAGTGAGGGGACCGGGGGGAGGGGAGGGGCTCTGTTGTTCCGACCCAGGAAGCACCACTGACCCTCGTCAGCTGCCGCAGCAGCAGACATCACCAACCCCCACCGTTCACCCCTGTTCCAAAGACTTGAGCGTGGCTGACTCTGGGCAGGACTCAGGTGGGGACAGACATGGGATGCCAGGTCAGAGACAGTGGTGCTGGCAGAGACGGTGCGAGTCAGCTAGAGCCAATGAGACTCTGCTCTGGGATTTCTGTTGGAACAACTCAAAGGCAGGTCCTCTTTTTTTTTTTTTTGGATTTTTTTTCCTACCCGGGTTCCTAAGCCAGCAAGTATCCAGCTTTGCTGCTGTCCAGGAAGGGCCTGGCTGGGAATGGAACCATCCTGGGGCAAGAGGAGCCAGAGCTGGACACACAAGAGAGGTACCAGTGAGAAGCACCTGGATCCAGTCCTACCTGAAGTCACAGTCCCTCTGGACTTCTCGGTTTGGTGCAGAGACCCTCAAGTGAGCCTCTACCACTTCTAGAATGAACTGTGCTCTCCTGAGTGACCCTGCTGGACCAAATCGAGGTGAATCAGAGCTCCAGAGCAGCTCGGTACAAAGCAGGTGGCATTGTGGAGCTTCTGTGGGAACATCAGGAGGGGGCCAAGACTGCTCACAAAAAGGTCGCAGTCTTTTTTTTTTTTCTTTTTGGGTCACACCCGGCGATGCACAGGAGTTCCTCCTGGCTTCGAAATCAGGAATGACCCCTGGTGGTGCACAGGGGACCCTATGGATGCTGGGAATTGAACCTGGTTTGGCCACGTGCAAGGCAAACGCCTCCCCGCTGTGCTATTGCTCCAGTCCCAAGGTTGTATATTCTTGCAGAGAACAGAAGAAAAGTCTGCATTATTGTGTCTCAGGATATCCCAGGGAACACCCAGAAAGGTCGAGGTCCTGGGGGAGGAGGCGTGGCCAAAGTCCTCCAGTAAGGCAGTGAACACAGACCACCAAAGCGACTCTGGTGGGCTCAGATTATGAAAGAACAGCCGATCCCGTGTTCTCAGCTATGGGGTGGGGGAGAGCCCCATCAGTGCAGGTGTGGGGGCAGCCGCTGGAAGAGGGAGGGCTTGGTCAAAAGAATAATTTTCAGCGGCCAAGGGCCAGCATCCCATGAATGACTTGGGCTTTCTCCGATAGGTGGACCCCTCGGCCCCACAGACCTACTGAAACGGGGCCTCTGGGGAGCGGCCCCCGAGCCAGGATGATTGGCTGCCTCCCCGAGGTGCTTCTGATGTGCGTGACCATGTGAGGACCTCTGGGTCACTCGTGCTTTTCAAATTAAACACAAGCATGCACGTGATCTTGGGAGCCTGTGTAAGCAGTTTTGGCATCACTGGGTCTGGGACGGCAGGGCTGAGGGTGATGGGACGGGTCTAGAGACCGTACTGGAACTGGGGCTGTGATGTCCACTCTTTGTCCCTGATATACCTCGCATGGAAGACTGCACTTCTCATTGGGGAATAGTCCAGCGAGGCAAAGAAGATTCAAGTCTCCCAGGTCAGACCAGACCGGGTCAGTAAGAACCCCAGGAAGAGGCAAAAGCCGTATGGGAACTAGGTGAGATGATCTGGAAATGTAACTCTTTACAGTAAAATAAATATCATGTATCCAACACTGCTCTGTACTGGCACTGCATACTAGCCACTGCAAACATCTGTTGGTCTTATTTTTTTTTGAAATGGCTGAGGGGCTGGAGTGATAGCACAGTGGGTAGGGTGTTTGCCTTGCACGCAGTCGACCCGGGTTCGATTCCCAGCATCCCATATGGTCCCCCGAGCACCGCCAGGAATAATTACTGAGTGCAGAGCCAGGAGTAGCCCCTGTGCATCGCCGGGTGTGACCCAAAAAGCAAAAAAACAAAAAACAAAAAAAAAACAAAACACACACACACACACACACAAAACAAGGCTGAATAAAGGAAAACTGGTGTCTCAACTCAATTGGGGAGCAAATACAGGTGCGTATGGTCATTACTAAGTCGTATTTCTGGTCTCTACCTTCGAGAGCATGGTGGGTCTGTCACGACTGACCTGCTATGGCCGTGGCCAGTGGGGAGGAACTGGAAGTGCCACGTGAGGGAGATACTGGCAGTAAATGGTTGCGTCAAGAGCTGCCTTCCTCTCTACTACGGTGACAGGTACAATTCAAGATGGAAGCTATTCCAAAGGCCCTTTGTTGTGGACAAACAGCTGGTCGACCAGTTGACCCACGATAGACACAGAATAAGCCACCCACCCACACATATGCACACACAAACACATACATACACACACACACACACAAAGTAAATCACCTTTCACTGGAGCAAGCCTTTGAGATCTTGGAATAGCCTACCACTAGAGCATATTCTCACTGATTCTGACTGACTCAGATGAGGGAGCTCCCACAGCAAAGAACACACACGGCTAAGGTCCAAGCCAGGCCTCCCGAACCCCACTGCCGGTCTACTCCTTTGAACTCGGCGCAGGACAAGAAGTCCATTCTGTGCATCTGTTAGTGCTGCTGCTACTGTCCCCTCCAGACACAGCCCAAGTCCCTCCCTTGTACCTCTCGTGGTTGCAGCCATTGGCTGAGCCGCCGTCGGCCAGGCCGCTCTGTGAGCAGGACGAGCAGGAGGACTTCCGGGGACCGGGTTGCCACAGAGAGGGTAGGCTGTGCATGGAGACGTCCATCAGGTCCTGCGGGACTGTGTTGGGTACAAGGGAACAAAGGACAAGGGCCCTGTAAGCCCCACCCTGTAAGGGTGACAGGAACTCCCCCCCCAAAGCCAGCCTCACCCATCCCCAACCCCCAGATCAGGCAAAGACCCTAAATGTGAGAGCAGGCAAGAACGACTGTCACCAGTCTGACGGGATGCAATGAAAGCCACCACCGAGATCTGGGACACCCTGCAGGGTTGACAGCATTCGAAGGAAGTGGGGGAACCGAGAGACACCAGAGGCAGGAAGGCAAACCCCAATGCCAGGGCCTGAGCCCAAGCCTCGCCAGGCTGTCACTGAACTGTCCCCACAGGACGCCGCCAGGAAGGGGAGGGGGTCTGCCGGGGTGCTCTGGAGAAGGCTGGTGGCAACAGTCTCCTGAGAGAGCGCGTGGGGACTCCAGTGGGCGAGAAGGCAGGGAGACGGACTCAACACATTCAGGAGGACACGTGAGGTCAAAGGGCCTGGTGGAGTTCCCACTGGAGAGGGCGAAGGGCACCGTCACTGTCCTCGGTTCTGAGGCATGCTGTTCTATCAAAAGGTTACCCATCCCCAGAGTTAGAGAAGGGGGCTTGGTCAAGAGCCAGCTGCCCATGCCCCTTCTCTGGCCGATGTGATTAGTCTCCTGCAGGTCCAACTCCCTGAGGCCGGGGGTGAATTCTGGCATTAGGCGTACAAGAGCCAAGAGGGAACGACTGGTCTCCTCCGTCCTCGGAGATGGATGATTCCCTGCCCGCTACCTGACGCCGGAGAACAGCGCCCTCCCTGTTGCACTATCGCTCCGGCCAGAACATGCACCATAACCCGTTCTCAGCCATAGGGTGAGGGCTTGGGGCATTTATATACAAGTGCCCACCAGCCACGGGCTGAGAAGTCACTGGGGTGCCCCGGTGGCTCCAGGTGGAGACCCCGAGGCTGGGAGCTGGCTGGGAGAGGCCGCACAGCTGGGGAAATGCCGGACTCTGGGCGGGCTCCACAGGTCTCTGCTCTGCTGACGCATGCAGCCCAGGGGAGGCTAATGGGGATCATGGGAGGCTAACGAGGATGGCATCCCCGCGAACAAGACGCCGGACACCTGGCCTGGCCCCTAGGAGGTAGCCAAGGGGCCACCTAGTGCTCTGGGGCACAGGCCGGCAGCGGCGATGACCCCAGACCTGGGTTTGACTGGCAAGGATGCCAGAGTGAACCATGGGTGCACGTGGGGACTCTCACTGGACAGGTGCACTCCCATGGGCAGGCAGGGACCGGCCGTGCAGGGTGGACAGGCGCGTGTTCAGTGAGCGTGCTCCTGGGCTCCGATCCCGCCTTGTAATAGGCGTAAGCTGAGCTGCCCACGGGCGGCTGCCGGAGTCAGAGGAACATTAAGAGCTGTTCCCCGGTGCTGGGCCCAGTGGGGCCACCAAGGGCTGGCTCAAATGAGATGCACGAAAAGATACTCAAAATGAACGGAGATTTGTTTAACAGACTTATCATAGCACTTAAGCAATCCAGGCCTTGGGGCCAGAGTGATAATACAGCAGGTAGGGTGTTTGCCTTGCATGCTACCAACCCGGGTTCGATTCCCAGCATCCCATATGCCCCCCCCCCCAGCATTGGTAGGAGTAATTCCTGAGTGCAGAGCCAGGAATAACCACTGAGCACTGCTGGGTGTGACCCAAAAAGCAAAAAAAAAAAAAAAAAAAAAAAAAAAAAAAAAAAGAAAAGAAAGAGGAAAGAGCGGATAAAGGAAGGAAAGAAGGAGAGACAGTGAAGGGAGGTGAGGGAAGGGAAGGAGGGAAAGAAAGAGAAAGAAAGAAAGAAAGAAAGAAAGAAAGAGAAAGAGAGAGAGATCAAGAGAGAAAGAAAGGGAGATTGAGAGAGAAAGGAAGGAAGGAAGGAAGGAAGGAAGGAAGAAAAGAAAGAAAGAAAGAAAGAAAGAAAGGAAGAAAGAAAGAAAGAAAGAAAGAAAGAAAGGAAGAAAGAAAGGAAGAAAGAAATTCAGGCCTCCTTGGGACGGGAGCGATAGGACAGCAGGCAGGGTGCTTGTCTTGCACACGGACAACCTGGGTGTGATCCCATCTGGTCCCACAGGATCCCCCACGCTCTGCCAGGAGTGATCCCTGAGCACAGAGCCCAGAACAAGCCCTGCGCATTGCCAGGCTTGGTCCCCAAACAGAAACAAAGATAGATAAACCAACACCAGCGAAAACAAATCCAGGGCTGGAGCAATAGCACAGGGGGTAGGATGTCTGCCCTGCACGCGGCCGACCCGGGTTCAATCCCCAGCATCCCACAGGGTCCCCTGAGCACCACCAGGAGGAATTCCTGAGTGCAAAGCCAGGAGGAACCCCTTCGCATTGTCAGGTGTGACCCAAAAAACAAACAAACAAACAAACAAACAAAAAAGAAACCCAAGCCTCCTACAGAGAACTCTGACAGAGGCATTTCACTTAAGCCTCCTGACAGCGCCCCCAGGATAATGCTTTTCTTTTCTATTTGTATTTTGGGGGGCACACCTGGCAGTGCTCAGGACTTGCACTGATCCAGCGGGATGTGCCCCGGGGAGTGTTGAGCCAACCACGTAAGAGCAGCGCGTGGCCGAGAGGTCTCTCCGTGCTGAGTGTATTATCTCTGAGGCCCGACTGTGAGTGAGGCTGTTTTTGATTTCTCGCTCTTCTATGCCATTTTTTGCACAAAGAAAATCCACAGACGTCTGTGCATTGATTCTGCAGCCACTTTACTATGCAACACTGTACCATTGTTTCTAGGAGCTCTTCCTTTTCACTAGAAGGCTGCAGGGTTTTCTTAGTATGCCGTCTTCAAATAACGAATGCCTGGCTTTTTCTTTTCCTACTTTCCTATTCATTTAATACCTTCTTTTCCTGCCTAATTGCTATGGCAAGTACCACTAATACTATACTGAGCAGAAGTGGTGAGAGTGGGACACTTTGTCCTGTGCCTGATCTGCGAGGGAAGGATTTTAGAATTTTAAAATTTTGAAGATCTCGGCCCCAGAGACTATAAAAACCAGCTCCCGGAAGAAGAACAGTGCAGTCTCCTGCCCCCGCGCCTGACTGTCCTCGTCGCTGGGGCCCCTTGGAGGTGAGCGGGTTGAGCTTTCCTCCCCACCCCGACCAGGGCTCCGGCAGCCGAAGACCTCCAGGACCAGCCACCACCATGCTGAGACCACTCTCCGCACACATGAAGGTACTGGCAGAGGGACAAAGTCACGTGGGTTCCGGGGCCGAGATCTCCAAGCCTACTCGGATTTGGGCCGAGCCTCCTCCACCCAGATCCTCCAAACTCCAGTAGGCGGGGGTCACACCCACCAACTGGCCCCCTGGCGCCATGTAATCCCATCAACGGCCAAGACTTGGAGACTATAAAATCCAGCTCCCGGACGAGAACAGTGCAGTCTCCTGCCCCCGCGCCTGGCTGTTCCTTGCCAGGGCCCCTTGGAGGGGAGCGGGTTGAGCTTTCCTCCCCACCCCAACCAGGGCTCCGGCAGCCGAAGACCTCCAGGACCAGCCACCACCATGCTGAGACCACTCTCCGCACACCTGAAGGTACTGGCAGAGGGACAAAGCCACGTGGGTTCGGGGCCGAGATCTCCAAGCCTACTCGGATTGGAGTCGAGCATCCTCCACCCAGATCCTCCAAATTCCAGTAGACGGGGGTCACACCCACCACCTGGCCCCCTGGCGCCATGTAATCCCATCAACGGCCAAGACCCAGAGACTATAAAACCCAGCTCCCGGACATCTTATTATCTCATTCCTACTCTGGACAAACTTGCAGGCTATCGAATGTAACCTGCCCACACGGCAGAGTCTGGCAAACTCCCTGTGGAGTACCCAATATGCCAAATACCAGTAACAATGATGGGTCTCATTCTCCTAAAGAGCCTTGAATATAATCTCAGGGCTAGGATGAAGGAGACGTTACTGGGGCCTGCTCGAGGCAATGGACGAATAACAGGATGATTTGTGATTTGTGATTGTGAAAATTTTTAAATTTTAGAATTTTCCCCCCTCGAGTATAATGTTTACTGTGGGATTGTGGCAGATGGCTTTGACTATATTGAGGAAAGTTCCTTCAACTCTATTTAACTGAAAGTTCTTTCATCCTGAATGAGTGTTGGATCTTTTCTCTTTGAATCCTCACATGGAGTCGGTACTATGAACACTGCCCCCCCAGCACAGATGAGGAAACTGAGGCACACAGGGGCAGGTGATCTGGCGGCACCTTGGTCAGCTGAGAAAAGGGTTCCCTGGACTCTTTTGGGAGGAAACAGAGGCTGCCCAGACACTTTCGTATCCCAGCTTGCAGACGTCACCCCCTGGCACCCAAAGTCCTTCCCGGGACCAGCTACGGGGGGCTCCAGAGGGCCAAGAGGCAGGGCGGCTCACCAAACTCCGACTGCATGCCAGGGTAGATGATTCGGAACACGTAATCTGTCGCCTCGTCCTCTTCCTTGTCCGAAGACGTGGACTCGGCGGAACCCTGCGGGCTTCTCTTCCGCAGTTTGGGAAACACTTTGCCCTGTGTGAGGGAAGGCCCCAATGCACGGCGCTGGGCACAGGGGACCCCCGGGGGCCGCAGAGCCCAGGGAGAGGGGGGTGGGGGGAACCCAGGGGCTCGCCAGATGGTCCAGCCCCCTCCTCCGGCTTCCCGCTCGCCTCCGCCCCACGATGGCACTGCCACCGCCGGCTCACCTTCCCTCGCTGGGACCAGAGTGGGGGGTCCAGCTGCCCATGAGGGAGCAGCCCGTTCTCCAGGCAGGACAGGAACTGCAGGAGGTGGCCGCCCTTTGGGAAGCGGAAGGGCGGCCTCTGGATGCCGTCCTGGCTGACCAACACCACGGTCCCGCCGCTGTCCACTGCCCGTGAGGCCCGGCCAGGGAAGACAGGCAGGGCGTCAGTATGGGGTGCTGTGATGAGGGCTCCCCGGCAAACACGTCCCTCGGGGGGGGTTGGGGGTGGTGGTGGGGAAACAGCCTCGGGGTGCTCTGAAAAGCCCTGGACCACAGGTCCCGGCAGCTGGATCTGGGGGGCTCATTCCATCCTCAACAAGGACCCCTCCCAGCCATGCTTGCGGAGCCCTGGGCCACCTAAAGACACCTGACAATTTAGAGATCATGGGCTGGAACGATAGCACAGCGGGTAGGGCGTTTGCCTTGCACGCGAGCAACCCGTTGACCCGAGTTCGATTCCTCTGCCCCCCTCAGAGAGTCTGGCAAACTACCGAGAGTATCTCGCCCGCACAGCAAAGCCTGGCAAGCTCCACCGTGACTTATTCGATATGCCAAACACAGGAACAGCAAGTCTCACAATGTTACTGGGCCCACTCGAGCTAATCGATGAACAACGGGAGGACAGTGACAGTAACAGTGGGCTGGAGCGATAGCACAGCGGGTAAGAAGTTTGCCTTGCACGCAGCCGACCCGGGTTCAATTCCTCCACCCCTCTCAGAGAGCCTGGCAAGCTGAGAGTATCCCACCCGCACAGGGCAAGCTCCCCGTGTCACATTTGAGATGCCAAACACAGTAACAAGTCTCACAATGGAGACGCTACTGGTGCCCACTCGAGCAAACTGATGAACAACGGGAGGACAGTGCTACGGTGGTTTTTACTGGGGTCTTTTTTGGGGGGAGGAGGAGAGGCGGGGGTCCTGGCGCAGCACCCAGCAGTGTAATGAGGGGTGGGGAGAGTCCTGCCCCCTGGCCTGTCCCCCGCCCGGCCCCCCTCCCCACGTCCCCAGCCTCAGACCCTCTGCTAGTGACACTCAATGGTTTCTACCCCACTCTGCAGGGGGAGACTCTCCCAAGCTCTCATCTCTGGAGCCCGACTCTGGAATCTCAGGCGTCCACGTGGCTTGCCCCAGAGCCAGGCTCAACCGGTCTATGACTTGGCGTCAAGCTGCTTCCTGGCCTCCGTGTGGGGACTGATGGGCTGCTGTCCCGGGGCCTCCGGGGCCTCGGGGGGCCGTGAATCAAAGGGATACTGTGGGCACTGGGTCTGGAGCACAGAAATGCCCAGGAAGTGTCGGCGGCCAACGCTGAGTATCCGTGGGACCCCAAGTTCCCGCTGTGGGTCACCCCTCAGTCCCCAGGTGACCAAGGTGCCGTGAGGATCCCCACTTTACAGGAGGGGAGACTGAAGCCCAGGGAGGTGAAGTCGGTCACTCGGGGGAGGCAATCCAGGGCCCCGGGGTGGGGGGGAACACCCCCGCCCGAGTCCCCACGCGAGCCCTACCTTGCTGGTGGCAGTGCAGGTAGACAATCTCCTCCAGACGGATGGTCATGGCGTAGTCCCAGTAGACGCTGGAAGGGGAGAGACAGGCTGGGCCTCAGAGACTCCTGTCCCCGACGCCCAGCCGGGCCTCCTGGTGCCGGGCAGACCAGCTCCGAGGCGCAAAGGCTCTGCCTGCCTCACTCGGCCCCTCGCACCCCTCCTTCCAAGCGCTCCCCAGAGTCAATCAGAAAGAGCATTAACACCGAAGGTTCAACTAGCAACAACAGGGTAGCAAACCCTCAGACCAGGACTCAAGGCCCCCATGGTGAAGATGAACGATTTTCATGAATTTTCTTTTACTGAGGTGGGTTTTGTTTTGTTTTGTTTTGTTTGATAACGCCATTAGCTATTTAGTGATAACAAGCCATATAAAATGAGTTCTCTGGGGCTTGCTACAGGGGCAGGCTTGAGGGGTGGTTGGGGAAATGGGGACAACGGTGGAGGGAAGGTGAGAGTGGGGGGGGGGAGCAGGGGTCGAACCCTGAGCGCCTGCAACGAACCATCGCGGACAACTTTGCAAGCCACGGGGCTTCCACAAAGTGGAGGGAAATATCCAGAAAATCACTGTCACTGTCACTGTCCTCCTGTTGTTCATCGGTTTTCTTGAGCGGGCCCAGTAACGTCTCCATCATGAGACTTTGTTGTTACTGTGTTTGGCATATCAAGTACGTCACGGGGAGCTTGCCAGGCTCTGCCGTTCGGGCGAGATCCTCTCGGTAGCTTGCCGGGCTCTCTGAGAGGGGTGGAGGAATCAAACCCAGCTCGGCCGGGCCAGCTGCGTGCAAGGCAAACGCCCTCCCCGCTGTGCTATCGTTCCAGCCCACCCAGAAAATAGAAAAGAAAAATAGAATTAGGACCCGAGCGATCGTACGGTGCGTGGCTGTACACTGGCCTGTGCATGCAGGCCCACCTGGGTGTGACCCCCAGCACCCCGGGGGGTTCCCCCAGCCCCACCAGGGATTCCTGAGCACAGAGGAGCCAGCCCTGAGCACTGCTGGGTGTAGCGCCCCTCCCCCCCAAAGAAAAGAGAGAGGAAGAAAAAGGAAAGGAGGGAGGGAAGAAAGAAAAGATGGTGGTGTGGGGGGGAACTCAGGGTAGCAACGGCCAGAGCCCTCCCCAGCCGTGGCCACGACCCCTCAAGCTGAAATAATTGGGCGAGCCTCAGCTGGGCCGAGCCTCCCCTGGGCTCTGCCTCTGGCCTATCCTCTGCCCGGCCGGGTCCAGGGCCTTGGCAAGGAAGGCCACGCCCCAGAGCGTCACACAAACAGCACCTGGCGGGGGCGTGGTTGGGGGCTGGGGTGTCCCGCAGACTGGACAGGGCCCCCCGGAAGCTCCTCCCCACGGACAGGGGGCTCTGCCCAGCCCTCACGCCCCACCTGCCTTCTGTCACTTCCTGGTGCCCCCTCCCCCCGCACTTCCACCCCGGTCCTTGAGACCCCTTGCAGCCCAAGTGCCTGTCCCTCCCTACCTCTTCCCCACCAAGAGTGGGTCCAGGAGAACACCCCTGCCCCGGGCAGAAGCAGCCCCAGCGTCCTACCTACCTCTTCTCATACTCCAGGTCCCCCACAGACCCGTTCATCAGCTGGTTGGGCGTCCACTTCAAGGTCATGACGTCGGCCGTCTGGTGCAGGGACAGGTAGCCGGGCACAGCCTCCATGTCGTCCCTCTGCAGAGAGACGGTGGGGGAGGCTGCTGGGGGCGGGGGCGGGGGTCCTGGGCAGAACCCGGCCTTCGCGGCTGGGAGGGGTGGAGGGTGGAGGCAGGGCTAGAGGGAAGGGCAGTCTGAGGCTGGCCGCTCAGGGCTGACCGGTGGCTGAGCGCACTCACAGGTGCACGGATGGAGCCTCAGACCATCGGAGGGAAGAACGGGTGGGTGGCAGGTGGATGGGGAGGGGGGGGAGGAAGGAGTGTCGGGGAGGGACCCACAGGACAGAGGGGCGGGGGTGGGGGTGCAAGAGAATCGACCACATGGCTGGCGAGACCCCACCAGCAGGCAGAAGAGACGCGTGAATGGGTGTGTGGAGGGTCACGCCCTCAGACGGACAAACCCGTGGGAGAAAGGACACACGGCCAGGAAATCCTGGCGGGCAGGTGAGGGAGCAGAAGCATGAGCCCCCCTCCCCCGCCACCGCCCAGAGCCAGAGGGAACCCCCAAGCCGGAGCCAGTGCGGTTCCAAGCCACGGGGGTTCCTCTTGGCTCTGCACCCGGGATTTCCTCCTGGCAGTGCTCGGGGGACCCTATGGGATGCTGGGGACTGAACCCGGGTCGGCCGCGTGCAGGGCAAACGCCCTACCCCCTGTGCTCCAATCTCCAGCCCTGGACTTATTTTCGCTGGTGTTGGTTTATCTATCTTTGTTTCTGTTTGGGGACCAAGCCTGGCAATGCGCAGGGCTTGTTCTGGGCTCTGTGCTCAGGGATCACTCCTGGCAGAGCGTGGGGGATCCTGTGGGACCAGATGGGATCACACCCAGGTTGTCCGTGTGCAAGACAAGCACCCTGCCTGCTGTCCTATCGCTCCCGTCCCAAGGAGGCCGGCCTCCTTCCCTCCCTTCCTTCCTTCCTTCCTTCCTTCCTTCCTTCCTTCCTTCCTTCCTTCCGGACCGTGCGGCCCCGGCGCTCACCGGCTGCACCAGGACGTTGTTCTTGCCGTAGAGGAGGGTGGCCCTGGAGTTCTGGTGCAGGGACTCCACGTAGTCCCGTGCCGAGAGGGACTCGATGCTGCCGCTCGAATGCCTCTTCTGAATCTGGCAGGGACAGCGGAGGCGGGCGGTGAGGCCCGGACGGACGGACGGACGGACACACGGACGGACAGACACACACGGACAGACGGGCGGACCCACAGACAGGCGGCGTCCACGCCACTCACGCAGAGGGCCGGCCGCTTGGTGGGCGAGTCCTGCCGCAGGTGGGAGCCGTGGATGCGATGTCTCTGGACCAGCTCGTCGGCCGAAGGGTCCGTCCAGAAGTGATCCGCCGTCTTCATCTTGGTGTACTCCAGGGCGCAGGGACCCACTGCGGGAAGCAGGGGCCGCTGGGAACCCGGAGCCCCGTGGGGGTGGGGGGGCGCCCTCCCTCCCACCCAGTCACCCAGTCCGGGGCAGGGGCGAGGGAGAGGGAAGAGGGAAGTCTGGGCTGTTGCGGGGAGGGGGGTCCGGTGAAGGCAAGTGAGGTCCCTCGTGTCACCGCCGCACGCTGAGACCCGCGGCCCAGCACTTACCCAGCAGGGAGGCCAGGATGGGGCCGTCCACGGGGTCCATGAGGAGGGCCTCCTTCTCGTAGTACTTGCTGCCGAGAGGGAAGGAAACGCACGCTGAAATGCCCCCTGGACAGCAGGGGGCGCCGCGACACTAAAATTCACGGAGGCGGCTGAAGCCCAGCTCGGGGACCCACTGAGTCCCCAGGGCCAAATCCTGTTTCCGGAGCCAGCAGGAAACACCCAGGAGCAGACACCGAACTACCGACACCCTGCACCCAAGCCTGAAGCGGCGACTCTGCCCTAGTTGGAGGAGGAGGTTAACTGGAGCGCCAACCTCTGGATTTCTCTGACTCTCCTGCCCCTGGGCCTTGGCTCCTGCCCTCCCTCCCATCCCTGTCCACTGGTTAATGCCTACGTGTCCCTTAAGGCAGGCTAGGGGTAGGGTCTCAAGCAGCACCCCCCCCTCCTTCAAATTTGACTACAGGTTTGGATGTTGTGTGTTGTGTTTATTTTGAAATTAAAGTATGCAAAATTAAAAAAAAATAGACGCTTAGTGGCTTCCTTCCTGCCACACCCAGAGGAGACAGAACACCAGGCGGCACCTCCCACCCTGGGCTGTTGCTGAGATTCTGTCTGCTGCGATTCGAGCAACTTCGAGAGGAGAGGGGCTCTCTGCGAGCACTTGGGCAGAAAATGAAAAAAAAAATCCTAACACCTGCCCTACCAAGATGCAGTTAAACAGGCATAGACTGCAAAGAGGAGGCGCTCTCGTTCTCTGGCTGGGAAGGAATCCATCGGGCCAGGAGGAATCTCAGACCCTTCGGCTGAACAGGGGATAAGAGGTCAAAGGAACAGGACGGGCAAGGCCGCTGGATCCCCAACATAGAGGCCAGTGCCTGGCACATAGTAGGTGCTTACTTAAAGCCTACCGAATGGACGCATGAGTAAATTCAGGCCAAGACACCACGAATGGTGAGGTCTTTGGTTGACCGGAACAAGGAGGGAGAATGGAAGAAGTACAATTACGTGTTTCCAGAATGCCGTGCATTTGTAAAGCTCTTTCGCCTCTTCTCCAGAGAGGCAGAAATCCACGGTCCGATTTATTTGGTGAATAAATAGCTAATTTGGTAAATAAAAAGCTAAGAGGCTCCCTTCGACCCGGAAGTTTAGCAAGTGCAGGAGGAATGAGCGCGGAGATCTCAGAACTGCGCTGCTCTTAAATCAGACTCGTGCTAAGGGTCTAAGTCGGGCTGGTGTGGAATCAAACACCCCAAGGGCCGAGTCTCTTCCAAACCGAGGCCACGGCTGGCAAGTGGTTCTCGGCGAGAGGATGCGCTTCCCGAGCGCACCAGCAGGGGGAGGCAGAGCCGCGCGCCCGGCTCTTGCAACTCCCCGCGCGCACCTGCTGTTCTCCACCAGGTAATGCACGATCTTGTCCAGGACCTTCTCGAACAGCGCCGTGCGGATCCAGAGGTGCTTGATGGCGAGCGGGGACAGGCTGGGCAGCTTCGGCAGCTTCCGCACATTCTCCTGCAGGCCCTGGATCTGGTTTCGCCTTGGGGACCAGGACAGAAGGCATGGAACTGGCGTGGACGTGGGCGGGCGTGGAGCGCGTCACGCCAAGTGGAGTGAGTCAGAGGGACACAGGGACAGGCACGGGACGGCCGCACTCAGCGGTGGGACTTGAAAACGACTGGGGCTGGGGGCTGGAGCGACAGCACAGCGGGGAGGGCGTTTGCCTTGCACGCGGCAGACCCGGGTTCGATTCCCAGCATCCCATAGGGTCCCCCGAGCACTGCCAGGAGTGATTCCTGAGTGCAGAGCCAGGAGGAACCCCTGTGCATCGCGGGTGTGACCCAAGAAGGAAAAAAAAAAAACAACTGGTGGTGGGAAATGTGCATTTCCTTCCTTCCCTCCTTCCCTCCCTCTCTCTCCCCGCCCTGGAACCTCTCAGTAAACAGTCACTGGGCACCACGGCACCATTGAGAGGCAAAACCTGTTTCCCCCATGCCCCCAGCTCCGGGCAGGCTGGCAGCAGAGCGCAGACTCAAGAGGGTGGCAGAGGCGAGAGACGCTAGTGCCCACACCCTCAGGCCAGTTTCCAGGGTGGGGACAGTTGGCAGTGCCAAGAGGGTCCCGGAGATGTGCGTCTTACCCCGAGGCGCCAGCATGTGGCTCCCTCGGGCAGGACGGCGCTGGGCAGGGGCAGCTCGGGGCGCCCACATGCCTGCCGGCTCGACAGCTGTCTGTCGGCGCGTCCCAGGGGGAGACACAGACACGGTCACCAACCCTCCTGGGGCTCGAGTCAGGTGGGGGAGGCCGACACCAACCCAGAAACGAGAAACAAATGGGAACTGCAGAGCGCAGCGCTGACAGATGGAAACCACGTGGAGCGGGGGACAGAGAAACGAAGTGATGCCGGGGATTCCCTCCAGCTGGGGGGTGCGGGAGGGCAGACCTGGAGCCCACAGGAACCGGCTGTGCCAAGGCCCTGGGGTGAGGAAGGGGCTGGCCGAGTGAGAAGGCCTGGGAGGAGACGGGCGCGGGCGCCGGGTGGTGGGGGGCCACCGGGACTGTCCCCTCCCGCACTCACGCGCTCTCCAGCAGCTGCTCCAGGTCCTGGACCTTGCGGCTCAGCTCCTCTGCCGGCGGGAAGCTCCGGCCCACCTTCATGAAGAGCGCGGCCACCTTGTTGCTGCGCAGGAAGCCGGCCGCCCGCCGCCGCAGCCCATGCAGGACGCAGGCCTCCACGGCCGCTGCAGGGACACGGGGGTCAGGCGCGTGGGAGGGGGGTCCGGCTCCCCTCGTCCCCTCGGCGGGACGGGAGTTGGCGACTCCGCAGGGCGAGGGGCGGGTGAGGTGCCTTAGCTGCTGCTGGCCCAGGGCGGGGACCCTTCCCACGCCCGCTAGGTTCCTGATGGGGCCCCACCCCCACCCGGGAGGGGGCTCTGGACCGCCTGGGAACGGGAGGAACAACCGGGAGCCCCTTCCTGCTGGTTTGCTTCATGGCGCGGAGGACACACAGCGAACCCGGGTTCGATGCCTGGTGCCCTAGAGGGTGCCCCGAGCCCACCGGGAGTGACCCCTGAGGGCAGGGCCAGGAGTGAGCCTGAGCGCGGCCAGGTGTGGCCCCCTCCTCCCCTCCAAACAAGGGAAAAGGCCGATTGGTGGGGGGACTGGGTGACGTTTCTCGGAGAAGAGGGTGGCAGGCTGGTGCCAGAGAGAGAGCGAGAGCACAGCGGGCAGGGCACTTGGCATGCACGTGGCTGACCTGGGTTTCATCTCCGGCACCTCGGATGGTCCCCTGAGCCCTGCCAGGAGGGACCCCTGAGCACTGAGCCAGGAGAAAGACCTGAGCGCCGCCAGGGGTGGGTCCCCTGAACCAAAACCAAGAGAAAACAGGGCGACAGGCCAAGGCTGAGGCCTCTAACGGGCAGGCATGCCGGCACGCCCTGGGATACACAGATCAATGACTCTGCTGCCACACAGAAACGTCCCGAAGAAGAACAAAAAAAGTCCCAGAGAAGAAAAAGTTAGCGATTCTCTCCACAGAGACAAATATCGATCTTTCTGCACACACAGGCCGGTGTATGCGGATGTGCGCAGAGACACATTCCGTGTCTAAAAAGAAGTGGCGCGTGCCCGCGTCTCTGGAAAACTGTGCCACTTAAAAAGAAAATGACCCTGGGTCTCGAGCTGTGGTTCTGCAGAAGAGCAGGACCCCGCCCTCCCTTGCCCCCTCCCCTCCCCCCCAGCCAAGGGACGAAGAACACCTCGCCCAGGGCCACCGGGGTTGGCAGGCAGGGGGCGCTGTTCTGGCGCCTCCGGCATCCCGGCTCCTGCTCGGCCTGGCGGGGCCCCGGGAGGGAGGGACACGCAGTGCCAAAGCCAGTGGGCAGCTCTGGGGAGGGAATTACCGCCTGCCCCCTCCCGCGACCCCCATCGTCACATCAAGTCATTCGAGATGATGCAAGAGTCACCCCCTTAGGTGGTCGCCTGATGGACTGCAGCACCCATGGGAGCCACAGGCAAAGGCGGGAATCAGCCAGCGGGCGGCCAGGACACATCTGGAAACTGGAAACGGGGCTGGACGGGGGCGACAGGCTGAGCACAGCCCTCCCTCCCCCCATCCCCGGAGGTTTTCAGGCTCTGACCTCCCCACTTCTCTGACCCTCCCCATCTGCCTGTCTCCCTTCTGAGGCTCAGGCAGAGCGAGGTCAGAGCCTGGCGTCCGTCTCCAGCGCGCCCGGACCCTTCCCAGCTGAGTCTCCAGACCCCCCTGGGTCTAAATCCATCACCGGCAGCTGCAAAGCCAAAATGACCGGCGTGTGGAGGGACGGGTACTCGATCACTGGGTAACTGACACCCAAGCACGGAAGTCTGTAAGTCTACAACTGTACCTCATGGCGTTTCACTAATAAAAAAAAAAAGACTTCTGTGTGTCTGTGTGTCTGTGTGTGTGCCCACGCGCAGGTGTTGGGGGGCTGACCCTGACTCAAAGACGCCACCTCCCCCAGGCAGTCCCCCGGGCCGGCCGGACGCAGACTCACCGCAGAAGGAAATGATGTGGCTGCTGTCTTCGTGGACGAACTTGCGGGTCACCGCCTCCTCCATGATCTGCTTCACCTGGGGGGGCCACGGGGCAACGTGACAACTGAGTCCTCACCCCCCCCCCCTTCACTGAGGCACAGCCCGGGCCCCGCGTCCCTCCTGCCACCAGGTGCTCTGCTCGGCCACGTGTCTGTTGCCACGAGTAAGGCATGCACTGATGTGGGCCGCCACGTGGCACCCACCCCGTCCACCGTGTCCCCTTATTCTGGGGTCTCCAGCAACCCCTGGGGGCCTGGCTTCTGCGTCCACCCTCCTGCAGAATGGACTCGAGGGCAGGGCCCTGGCCTTTCTCAGTAGCTGCCCAGAGCCGGGCTCGGCAGGCAGCAGTTACGGGTCAGAATCCTGGGGCTGGGTAAGAGGCCAGTCTGAACCCCACGTGTCCAGGCTCCCTCCCTACATGGCGTCCGTGGGCTCATGGGGGAAGTGAGGTGCTGAGGGGCTCTCCCAGGGGGCACAACTGGCTCCTGGGGGGGGCTGAAGTCCAGCCCGGCCTGACCCCTGGAGCAGCCCATGGTCCCGTCATGCTCCCCAGTTCAGCAAGTACTTGTGAGAGCCGCTGCCATGCCAGGCGCGAGGGACACAGAGTGAAAGGGCAGTTGCTGCCCCCCGACACACACACACACACACACACACACACACACACACACACACACCCTACAGTGACCAGAGCCCTCTGCCAGCTGCATTCCAGCCGTGTCTGGTCAAATGGCACCAACACAGCCAACACAGCGCCAGGACTTGCAGGAAGCAAAGGAGGATCTTTTATGCAAAAGAAGCTGTCGGGGGAAGAACCAGCCAGGAATCCTAAGGGAGCCCACTGGAGCTGGACCTTGGGCCGTCCACCAAGACTCGGCTCCAAACACACGCAGGGCCTCAAGGGCTCAGAGCACACACTGTTCTAGAAGAAAGCCGAGTGGAAAAGGTCCGTCACGTGACTCTGCCGGAGGGCATTGGGGGAGGACCTCAAAGCACAGACGAGGACAAAAACACAAGGGGATGGCTGGACAACCTCAAAACACAAACCTGTGACCAAAGGACACAATTACAGAGAGAGAGGAGCGGGGGGAGAGGTGAAGGAAGGCCACAGGATGGAAGAAGGGACCTGCAGACCACAGAGACGGTCATGTCCAGGATGGGTGAAGACTCCCGCAATGTAGCCACCACAAGAAACAAACTTGATTAACAACTGATCAGAGAGCTCATTCTCGGCGGAAGATGCAGTGACCGATGCCGAGAGTGCCCGTGAGAGACTCCGCACCATGCACCATTGGCAAAGGCAGGTCCAAACCACAGGGACCACCACAGACCCTGGGGGAAGTCGCTCTCAGAACAGAGACACCGACAGGGGCCGGAGAGGCAGCACAGTGGGGAGGGCGTTTGCCTTGCACGAGGTCGACCCAGGGTGGATCCCCCACACCCCGCACGGTCCCCTGAGCACCACCAGGAGCGATTCTTGCGTGCAGAGCCAGGAGGGAGCCCTGAGCACTGAGGGTGTGACCCAAACACCGACAGCAAAAAAGAACAGACCAGGAGATGGGCTGGCACGCTCCCCAGCCAGACAGGAAGCTCGTGTCCCCGAAACCCTCCCCTGGAATCCTGCCTCCGTGGGGAGGGCTTGAGGCCGGAGGTGGGGGCTAAAGGTGGCAAGGATGAGGGGACAGCGCCCCCCACCACACACTGGGGGTAATGGCACCCCCAGCCCTGCTGGCGGGGGTGGGCGGGGAGAGGCCACTCTGAGCCGGGAGGTGGCAGCAGCAGCACGGGCCGCGGGCGTCCATCTCCGATGACAGCATCTCAGCTGTCCCGTCCTTGGTGTGGCTGCTACAGTCACCCGTGGTAAGACACTCACTGGCACCCAAGGCCGGGGCAGCAGGAACCCTGAGGGCAGCCAGCAAGACAGAAGGGAAGGAGGAAAAACGGAGTCTTGCGGGGAGACCCTGACGCTGGAGGGGGTGGTCTTGTGGGGCAGAGCCTGCAGGAGCCCCGGGCAGAGGATGCCCGAGTCCTCCTCGTGCCAGGGGGCAGTGCGAGGGTTTGCCAGCAGCCGGCCCTCACTGGAGCAGGCCCCCGCCCTTCTGGGCACGTCCACCTGTTCTGGGGAGTGACCATCTGTCTCTCTCCAAAGCGGCTCCAACGAGGGGCCCTGATACTGGCCCGGGTCGCCCCCAGGCTTCCAGGTCCCCATCTGCTCTGTGCAGGGGTCTCAGCCTCCACCCGCAGGATCCCCGCCTCTTAGGGTGCCCACCACTCCATCTGCGCTCTCGGGCCCTCCCTGCCTCTGTCCGTCTCTGCTCCTGCCGGCTGGGGCCTCCCCAGGGCGCCCCTGTCAGCCGCCAGGAAGGTGACGGTGCTCAGAGCTCAGGCCCTCCCCCTGGTGACTGAGTCACACGAGAGCATGGTGGGAGCCCGGGTCTGCCGGGACACAGGCAGATGGCCACAGGCAGGTGGCCCTGTCGGGGTCACAGGCACAGAGTCGGCATGGCCCTTAGGGGCAGTGAGCTGCCCACACCAGGACATATCTGGGTGGCAGACAGCGGGGGCCGGTTCCAAGGGTGCCAAGACTCCTGAGGGGGCCGGGGTGGGGCCAAGCCTCCCGGGGTGACCCCCAAAGCAGAGTCTCCGGGGTGATGGCCGTGGTGCCCACTGGTGGGCAGTAGGGGACTTCGGGTCAGTGAGCTTCAGTGGGACAAGGACACTCAGGGGCACTGGGAGGGGCGGCGGGACAGCAGCCCCCACGCCAGCCTTTGGTGGCTCACAGTGGGGGTCCCCAAACGCTCCCCAGCCCCTACCTGATTCTGAAATGTTCCCCCGGGATCCTGGCTGGAAGGTCTCCCCGCCCTTGAGCGGGGCTAGCGGAGCTGTGGGGACGCTCCCGCTGCCATGACCAGCCCGCAGCCCCGCGAGCGCGTCTCCCGTTCCCAGCCCACGCCCTGGACTCCCGCCAGCTCCTCCCGGGCACGCTGCCCGCGGCTCCCCTGGCGATGCACCCGCTTCCACACACCCACGGGCCTCAGGGAGGAGGGTGTGCACGGGATCTGCAGGGGGCCAGACTCTCTGGAGGGCCGTCCAGACACCACTCACACACAGACGCACTCACAGACACACACACACAGACACACTCACACACACTCACAGACACAATCACACACTCACACAGACACACACTCACAGACACACAGACACAATCACACACTCACACACAGACACACACTCACAGACACAGAGACACAATCACACACTCACACACACTCTCACACAGACACACTCACACAGACACAATCACACACTGACACACTCACACAGACACAATCACACACAGACACACACACTCACAGACACACACACAGACAATCACACAGACACACACACACAGAACACAGCCTACCCGTGCCAGATGTCACCTGCGGGAGGGGTGAGGTGGACGCTGTCTGAGGGCTGAGTCAGTACCCTGGCCCCGCCCCTCGCTGCTAGGTGACAGGGACAGTTAGTCACCTCACTTCCTCTCTGCTCCGCTCAACCATCTAGAAGGTGGGACAATAAAGGCCACCTGGCCTCAAATCCTTTTCTTTTCAGGTCAAACACTGCGTTGGGAGTTGTGGGTGAGGATCACGGTGGAGCAAACACTTCATCCTGGGTTCATCCTGGGTGCTGTCCTGGGTACTGTCCTGGGTTCTGTCCTGGGCTTGTCCTGGGCTCAATCTTGGGTTCAGGGCCGGAGTGACAGCACAGCGGGGAGGGCGTTTGCCTTGCACACAGCCAACCCGGGTTCGATTCCCAGCATCCCGTATGGTTCCCCCCAAGCACCACCAGGAGTGATTCCAGAGTGCAGAGCCAGGAGGAACCTCTAAGCATTGCCACTGTGACCCAAAAAGCCAAAGAAAAAATAAATAAACTAACCAAAGAAAAAAAACCCAAAAACCCAATCTTAGGCTCAGTCTCGGCAGTATCATACTCCCCGGGCCCCACCCAGCGCCACCAAAACATCGAATATTTCCTCCACAATAAACTATTCTGAATGATCAACTCTGTGTGTATGTGTGTGTGTGTGTGTGTGTGTGTGTGTGTGTGTACGTGCATGCGTGCACATCAAGCACTTATCACAATGGTTAGAGCATAAGGGATGGTGTGGCAGACGGGCATTTGCCCTGCATGCGGCCAACCCGGGTTCGATCCCCAGCGTCCTGTTTTGTCACCTGAGCCCTCCAGGAGTGACACCTGACGACAGAGCAGGAGTGAGCCCCGAGCACTGCCAGCATACCCCCGAAACAGAACAAGCAGGTAGAACTTTCTGAAAATGTCCCAGCTAACATTGTCCAGTACAGTATAATAAGCCACACGTGGCCGATGAGTATTTGAACACGGCTGTCTCAGCTAGGAGAAATATGTTTCGCTTCATTTCTGATTAATGCAAGCGTGTGCCTGGACACCTAACAAGGGCCTTCTAAGTTGGACAGTACAGATTTGGAACACAGTCGGTGCCCAGTAAATGCTAAATGCAACTGTCACACTCACACACACACTCACAGACACACACTCTCACACACACACTCTCACACAGACACAATCACACAGACACACTCACAGACACACACACAGACACACACTCTCACACACATACACACACACAGAACACAGCCTACCCGTGTCAGGGCTTGTTATGGTAATGGCTGGAGTGAGCATCAGGTATCAGGAGGGTCGCATTTAATTCTTGACAACGCCCCGGAGTGACAGAACAGCAGGTAAGGCCTTTGCCTTGCACGCGGCTGACCCGGGTTCGATCCCCAGCATCCCATAGGGCCCCCCAAGCACCACCAGGAGTGATTCCTGAGTGTAGAGCCAGGAGGAACCCCTGTGCATCGCCGGGTGTGACCCCCCCCCAAAAAACCAGGAAAATAAATAAATAATAAACCTAAACTGTGTTCGCACCTGCACATGCTGGCATTCTGCAGACGGATTCTGAGTGGTATTTGGGTATTCGGGCTACAGACACTCAGAGAGGCAGAAGGGGGCCCAAG